GGTTAACACCACATATACACGGTGCCAAATCCCAGAAGACTGCTTTCTTCATAGTCACCGCCGTGAAAGCCTCAAATCTTACTTAAAGAAATTTTCTTGTAAATTTATCTCAATTTTTGGGATGACATATCTGTGTGAACAAACTTTTTCCCAGATGAAGTACATCAAGTCGAAATACAGGGCAAATTTATCCGATGAACATTTAAAGTCGCTACTTGTGATTAGCGTTTCAAAATTTGAACCTCAATTTAATCAGATTTTAAGAATGCAAAAAGAGTTCCATCATTCACATTAATTGTTTTATTATAATTTGTGATGAAAATATGAGCATTTGCTGCTGCTGTCTGTTGTCATTAATATACGATAATTTATTCACACGTACTTTGTATTTAGTTTATGAAATTCTGTGCTTTCAATAAAACTCATATACCTAGAGTTATTACTTTCTCATTTTATCCGGCCCGTTCAAAGTGCTGAATTACCTAATGTGGCCCGCCGTTCAAAAAGTTTGGAGACCCCTGTTCTAGAGGAATGTATTGCCTCTGATATAGCTGTAACAATCTACCAGACTACACGATGTTATATCGCAGACAAAACTAATCTCCAGTAACTGCTGCAAAAGCTGAAACTTTGCATATTAAGCCTGTATGAAGGGGCTGTTCTATAGGCCACTCTTCTGCCCTGAAGGCAGACATAGGAAGTTCCTCTAAAACATGAATAATAATCTACCAGACTACACAGTGTCATAGATCTGAAGTACATGCCATTTCACATTGGGACTCTATGGCAGATAATTCACGTATCACTTGTATACCTCCTGATGCACTCCTTGCAGAACAGATGTCCATCTGTGCACGTAGCCATGTCCTCGGCCATGACTTCAGAGTCAAAGCAGCACATGCACTCTAGTAGCTCACCTCTTGCTTTCGCCTACGGAGAACAAAACCAAGGCTCATCTGTACGCTCAGTGCACTGCAACGGAAGAGATCTGAACCAAAAGCATGGATATGAAAGATAAAACAGACAAGAGAAAAAACAAATGAGAAACATGTGCCTGGTGAAGAAAAGGTAAACTAGAGATAAAATTTTTCATGTGCTTAATTAAGCACCATACCAAGAAGAGACATAGGGAGGTCCAGGTGTAACTTCAATATCCCCCTACAGCTTAACATCATGGATACGTCAAGAGCACACAGCCATAACAGAAACATTCTTTAAGCAGTTTATGTTTTGCACAAGTACGAAACATTGTCCCTCACTTTACGGATGGAACAGAGGTTAAGGGCATCAGAGAATATGCCCTTCAGAGCATCTGGACATCTAAGGGAATAACAAGATGCAGAAAACTGCATAATTAGCTTCACAATTTGTACTGCTCACCAAATGTTATTAGGGTGATCAGCTGGGTACGGCACATATGTAGCATGCATAGTTTTGGCATAAAATCTGAAGGAAGGAGACTATGTGGAAAACATGCATGTAAACTGGAAGATAATAATGAAATAGATCTTAAAGAAACAGGACTCTGTGTTCTGTAAAATGCAGAAAATTTCTAGGCTAGATTCTCAAGGCAAACTCTGCTCCATGCAGTTAGTCCTCGAAGTACTTTACCATTTCGAAAGCTTCTTTCTTCCTATGTTCTTTTCTAAGAATGAAGTCTTTAATCCTTTGTTTGTTTTCAATGAAGGCAACCTAGAGAAACAAACAGAAAGCCTTTTTAGTGCCAAAGAGAACAAGTTTTACGCAGGAAGAGGACAACTGAATGTGACTGAGACACAAATAGTGACCAACACATAGTGCTCCTGCAACACTATGGTAAAATGTGAAAACGCTTTAACTCCCCATCTTTGGCTGCCAATTCTTATGACATACTGTTAATATAACCTCCTTGATCTGTTATATTATGGATAAGTGTGGCCACATGTGAGGGCACATTTTGGAAACTGGATCTGTTTCAATCATCAGGTACAGGTATAACAGGTGAGAGGCTAGTGCTCAGCTGGACCCACAGAGGGGGCAAGTCTCGACCAGGGGATGTCCAGTAAACAAGGCTGACTCTTATTATTTATTATTATTATTATTATTGGAGGGGGTGGGTTTCCCCAAGCACTGCGACCAGTGGTCTATTGTACGTCCCCCTGTGATATTCTACCAGTCTCTATACCCTACCGATACTGGTGCGTACCATCACTCCTGACTCAGCCAGCGAGTTCGGCCTCTACTGGCTCAGCGGTATCTAGATGCTTCCCCCATCTACCAGAGGCGTTAGAGACTATTGCTGGGCGGGAAATGTCCTTGTAATTTGGCTCAGAGACCTCCTTGAGGCATGAGGTTCTTTTACGTGCTGTAAAGCTATGACACGGGACCCACGGCTTAACGTCCCTCCCGGAGGACTTCTTCCCTGAATTCTTCCGCCCTTAAAAATTCTACGACCTCCGCCGGGTTTGAACCCGCGTACCTTGAGTCATGAGGTAGGAACGTTACCCCTAGACTATGGAGGCCGCTTAAGGCTGACTCTTGCTAACAGGCCCAACTGCATATGAACCTCTCCTCTCTTACCACCCATTAACGGAACTGTGTCAAACAAAGAGGAGGGAGTGGTTTCTGTTTATTTATAATTTTAGTTTTCATGTGTACACTCTGTTCCTGCTGTTTTTGTTTGGCAGCACCAAAAATGCCGTATACGTCACACATATGCCTCAGAAAATGGACAGTGTCCATCACAATCTTCACATAAGGATGTAAGCAGAACACAGAACATTGTGAGGGAAAGATCTATTCCACACTACAAAGTACCAAACACTCACCTCTTGGAAAAATGACACGGGAATATCCTCTGTGTCTGGTACAGTGCAAGTGTTACAAGGTAGACTAAGGGGTCCAGTCCAGCTATCCAGATCCATACACGTCAATGTCAAGTTATAATTGTTCTTCTGAAACAACATTTTTATATCATTCCGAGCTATCGTTTTGTATCGCGTCTCCAAGTATGCCATTCCATGATTCCTTATCAACTCACTGCTGTTACTGTTGTCTTTCTCACCAAAATGCTTCCACGGATCAGGAATCATCTCAATAAAGTCCTCGATACTAAATTCCTCTTTGTACTTCCTCCGTAAGGCAGCCATTTCTTGACGTTTGAGAAATGCCTCTCGCGTCGGGTAGTCCTTGTTTTCAAGTGACTCCAAAAGAAATACTTTTATACCCTCCTCATCATTCCCAATCCTGTGAAATGTAGCACGGAGATATTCTGGATCTGCATCGGGAAGCACAGAGAGCAGCGTCTCAAACTTGACGCCATCCACCTCGTCCAACAGCTGTGTGACGAATATTCGCATGGCATCTTCGTCGTCTCCTATCCTCTGCACATTCTCCCGCAAGAAGGCAGGGTCTGCATGTGGGAACATGGCCACTAGATTCTGGTAATGGTCATCTTTTTCATTCTTCTTCAGCTGCTCTGCAACAAATTCCCTCATTGCTGCTTCATCACTACCTATCTCAACGCACTTCTCGCGAAGGTAACCCGGATCGACTTGAGGAAATATTGCTAGGAGTGTATGGTATTGCGAATCTACCTTATTTCTTGACTGTTCTTCAATGAAATCTTTCAAAGCAGCTTCATTGCTACCAATCGCATCACATTTTTCACGCAAGAATGTGGGGTCTGCATGTGGGAACAATGATAACAACATATGGTACTGAGAGTTATTTGATGTCTCCTGCATCTGCTCAGCAATAAATTCCTTCACCGCATTATAATCATTTCCTATCATCTCCCACTTCTTCATCAGGAACACTGGATCAACATGTGGCAGAGATGATTCAAACTCTTCATACGTTATTTCCTTCTTACGACACCCCTGAGCCGGTGGCTTCGATACTAATGCACCTACAGGTGACACTGACCCAATTAGTGTGTCACTTACATCATCCTTTTTTTGTTCTATTTCAGTACATTCTAATACCCTGTTCGCCATATCCGTCAGTGATTTGAACTGACAGCTGACCTCTGTCAAAAAGTCAATGTCAGCATCTGGAAATAGCTCCAGTAATTTGTCCACAATTTTGTCACCTTGCTCTTCATCTAGGCTCCCCTGGAAATGAAATAAATCATCTGTGGGTGTGGATCCAAATGAGGCACTGGTTTGTTCAAATGATGTGTTACTGCAGTCCTCCACTTCAACCACTGAAGAAGAATCACAGTCTTTTTCCTGTTTAGTCACAGTGGCAAGCCCATCACATCTGGATTCATTTTCAAACCTTTCTGCTGCAAAAGTGTCAGAGTTTCGAATTGCAGTTTCAAAGTCAGTTATAACATCACTGATTTCTTGATGCAACTCATCTAACTTCAAGTCTGCAAAATGCACACTGCTGAAATCTACATCAGTTGAATCTTGTGAGTCAAAGGATAAAGTTGATGTCTCACTGAGATTTTGTGACGGCACTATTTCTGGTACATAAGATGGACGATTTTCATAAATTTCATAAACTATACCATAATTTGAACCACCACCAGTTTTATACATGCATCTTCTCCGTTTTGGGTTTGCTGAACTGCCATCCAGTTCCTTGCATGAGTTATATGAAAGTGTTCCTTCCTCCCCTTCATCAGAAATGATTCGGTCAAACACTTCATCTCCATTTTCTGCAGCTGCCAATTCCATGGTGTTTTTGCATGATGAAGATGGTGCAAGTTCAAAGTTCTCTTCGGACATTCTTTGTTTAGCTGTTGAAGACAGCGTCACTTCAATACTTTCTTTGTTATCTTTCTGTTCAGCAGATAATGACAAAACTTCATCATCATCTTTGCTTATTTTCTGTTCAGCAAACAAAGGTATCACTTCAACACTTTCTTGGTTATCTTCCTGTTCTGGAGATAATGGTATCACTTCTACACTCTCTTCATGTACTGTCTGTCTGATAGAAAATGGTGACATCTCAACATTTTCTTCATCATCATTTTGTTCAACAGATAGTGGTATCACTTCAGTACTTTCTTTGTTAACTTGATGTTCTGGGGATAGTGGTATCACTTCAACACTTTCTTCATGTATTGTCTGTTCGATAGATAATGGTGTCAATTCCTCACCTTCTTCATTATTGTTGCCTTTACTATACTCTGCTTCAATTTTAAGTTTATCTGTCACATTTTTGTGTGCATTTTCAATATCAACGTCAACATTATGAAAAATCTGCATCTGTTCACATTCAACGTTTCCATCGGTTCCTTGGCACCCTTCTTGATCTCGATGTTCCGAACCTGAGAAGTTTCCACCTTTAAGGCCAGCATCTGCTGACATTTTTTGCGGAAGTGAAGGACTGGCACCATCAGAATGTTTAACGGAATGAAGTTTCGCATCATGTGCAGCTGTCTGATTGTGACATGCTGCAATCTCATCAACTGAAGGAGTCATCAAGGGAGTTATGGACGAGGCGCACACAGATGCAAGATTGGTCCTGACTGATGCCCCATGACTGGTGTCCACACTACTGGTTGGTGTCACTTCTACACTTGGTAACTGTGCTACTCCACTTTCAGCATCAATCTGCATAAACATATCTGTCACAATATCGACCCGTACGTCACACTCTCTGTTGGCTTCAAGACACGCATAGATCTGCTCAAAATCATGATGTGGTAAAATGCTGTATATTAGCTCTGCTTCATGAAACAGAGTTTCGGCATCAGGATCATACTCTCTGCAACAGTCACTCTGAATCTCTACATTACTATGTTCAGTCTGGCTTTGGTTACTAATAAGAGAGTTGGTGAAAATCACATCTGGTGCAGGAACACTCATAAAATTTGGGCAGAAATCATGAGAAGGCTCAGTAATGTAATTTTCACAAGCAGCAGCAGCAGGAGCAATATCATTACTGTATAACATACTGCTTTCAGTTCCTCTGTCACCTGACTCATAAACTTCAGAGGCTGCAACTCTCTCGTGTGGCCATGGCGGACTTTCAACAAGATTAACCTCGCTACTTTGTATGGAAAATCTAAACACACGCTCTTCTGGGGCAACATCTTGTTCGACAATAACACCCAACTTGTGAAGTAGCTGGGTGGCGACATACTCAATTCGTTGCTCTCGTCCGATGTACGTCAATTCTTCTAGCTTCTCATAAATTTCATTGACGTCGATCATCTGACCGATGTTACTGCACTGCAGTATCGTCTGTACTTCTGCCACATCTGTCATCAAATCATCAACATTCACCTCTGACATCACCGACATATCCACTTCTGCTGTGTCATTGAAGTTAACATCTGTTATGTCTTCCATATTCACATTCATCATTTCCTCCTTGCTCATGTTTATCATTTCCTTCATGTCCATCTCAGCCACACCTCAATTGCCTGAAACATGAATATACATACAATCAGGTTCATAACAATCAGACATACATGTACTTACCTGGGATATGGCAGCGCTCCGCATCAACAGCACAGTACACAGTGGCTACAACTTTAAAGAAGGAATAATAGATTAAGAAATTAAAGTTTACTTGTGTAATTAAAAAGAACATTGAGAATTATTTGAATCACACCCAAATCCTGCAGATCTCTTTAACAGCCAAGGCTACCACAGAGACTAAAGTTCATAACACTGTTGCATGAAACAGTGACTACAGGTGGGGTTTGGATTCATAGTTGGATTCACTGCACACTTAAAACTCCTAATTACAAGCAACCATAACACTGCACAAATCACTATCGGCCGCACTAGTCTTCTCTGCTTGTCACGGCGTCACTAGCTGTTGCCTGGTCATGGTCTTTCAACAAGGGATATTCCTCAAGCCCTTACCGCTCACAAACTGCCCTCTCTAATCGACGACTCAAGACTGTGCCACATTCAAGATCAAAGTTATGTTATGATGGATGGTCAGTCACCCATTCTGTCTTGGTATCAAGCCCCATTTGGGGCCCAAGAACAATTCTTTTACTGTCAGACAGTTGTGAGTTCCTCGATGTGGGACGCCCTCTCTAATTAGAGGACAGGTCTTTCATTTACAATTGCTATTGGCACTTGCCAGTGCTCATTCTCTTGTCGGAGTCCCACGGGCCTCACAGTCATATTTTACTGTCTCAGATTCGAGACTCCCCCCCCAACATGGATAGCCAGATCCCCGTATTTATATCCCCCAGGCGGAGGGTGGACAGTTATACCCTGGGGCACTGGTCCCTTTCTTGTCATTTCCTACAACCTGCAAGGCTACAGCGGAGGTATTCAAACCTGCCTCCACACAGGCTGGTCCTCACATCACCTCAACAAGAACCTCAAAGAAAACACTGCCCACCTCTATTGTTGCTGTGGGCAGATGACGGTTACCGACCACTGCATAGCAACGAATGCTTGCTCAACAGTGCAGCAGACATGCCACAGTATCTCTGGATGTTCTCTGTCAGGTCCATGGTAAGAAACTAACAAGAGAGTTCCATTCTTATATACAACAGTTGTGTAAGTCAGTTTTCCAAACAATAAGTTTTCATTGCATTTAAAGGAGAGTTAATAAACTGAGGACAAATGCATGTGCACAGCAAAGTTTACAAAAGTTCTGGATCAGGGATGAATATACTGACATTACAGCATGGAGCCTGGTCACACATGTCTCAGTACACACAATATGAGTGGTATTATTCAGTTGCTCTCACTGGATCAAGGGGAAAACACTGCTCAAGGATTCCCCTCCAGACTCCTCTGCCCTGGGTCAACAAAACAAGAAAAGCACTGGACATCAGTGAGTACTAGCAACATTCATATGAACAGAATAGCTAGATTGCTGGAAGATACACTGAAGAAGGAAGCATAAGAGCTTACAGGAAATGTAAGTGGGGCTTCTTTTGACAGCCTCAATATACTGGGCATGCAAGGGACTATGAACATCAAATCTGCTCGTGGTAAGGAAAAATCACGGATGGAAATGCTACAGAAGCTGAGGTTGATGTGTTCAGTGGCAGTACAGACAACGATGGCTGAATCCTTGGGCAGCCAGGAATGATGCATATGCAAGGCTGTGGAAGGAGGTAGCAACACATCACAGTATATTTCAAAGCATTCGCTTAGTGGGGGGTGGAGTCCAACTGGGTCCACTCGGCACAGTGGCCACTGATTGGCCTACTGTACCTGCCCCAGGCAAGTATGGTGATGGAAAATTTGGTGGAGTGAAGAGTGGCAGGGTAATGGCCTCAACTAATAATTGGGAAGTGACTGCTTAGAACCTCAGCCAAGACTCCGGCTATTTGAGGGGGGGGGGTCGTGGTTTTCCCCGGTCACTTCCACGCAAATGCAGCGAGGGAAAATAAATTCGGCAACAACCGCTTTCTTCCCGGTCTCTTGCAATAATTTATTCGTCTGGCGATCTGCCATTTGAAGCATATGATCTAGCTACATTCGTCATAAAGTGACACGCACGAGTACAAGTATTAAACCCCATATCATTATCGCTACGCTAACCTGTCCCGTCGCATAATAGAACCCAGGCAATATGTTACTGAAATAAAATAGTCTTCCTGTCTGTTTTTGAACTGGCAAGATTCCACCGCAGGCTGGTTAATTTCGTCTGAAGGTCCGAAATTTCCCCACCAGTATTCAATTACTCCAGGCTTTAGGTTCAACTCAGCTTTGACTACAAGTCGCTATTTGCTTGCAACCATATTTTCAACACGAAAAAAAAAAAATCCTGTCACACTTGGCGGGCGGACCGCAGATTACCCTACCCATTACTATCACAAACCTTACTAAGATGAATAGTATGAACACTGGAAAAAAACTGAGCAAACTCGACCGCAACCGCCATGGACGGAGCTCGGGCGAGGGAACACGTAGGAAACCGGCACCCGCAATTTCCGAGAATTGATATGAGCCTGAGCTGAACACATGTTACCGAATGGAGTAGCGAAAATTGAGGAAATTGCGGCAGTTTCCTCAATTTGGGCTGTTCCATTCAGTAACATGTGCTTATCTCAGGCTGATGACAATTCTCGGAAATTGCGGTTGCGTTGCGGTTGCAAGTTTCCTTGGTGTGCTCTCACCCTTAAATACGATCTCTTTCCTTGCACTGGCCACAACAAATCGTGGTACAACATATTCCATCACATCTACGAGGGCGAGTCTTCTTCACAGGGAGATCGGCACGTCATCATTAGAAAGTTACTAGATTCTATTTTCAACATAAGGTCGGAACCAGAGTCCCCGTATCGGAGACCCTGCCAACATGATTTTTCTTCCTAAGACTGTCTACTCAAGGTATGACGTACCCTCAAAATGTTGCAGACAGCCAACAATGAGTCTTCATCGCGCCTGTAAAACACAGTGGTAAATATAGGTACCATCTGCTCAACAACTCTGCATTCTGCCCACAGTGTATTTATGTGATCCGTATGGTTCTCACAATAAACAGCGACTGTTTCCCTAAACAGCATTAACCGGTTGGACTTTATGGAGACGTAATGTTTCCTGTGAGGTACGAACTGAATTGTTATATATTCTGCCCACAGAGTGTGTCTGTGTTCCGTATGGTTCTCACAATAAACAGCGACTGTTTCCCTAAACAGCATTAACCGGTTGGACTTTATGGAGACGTAATGTTTCCTCTGAGGTACGAACTGAATTGTTATATATTCTGCCCACACAGTGTATCTGTGTGTTCCGTATGGTTCTCACAATAAACAGCGACTGTTTCCCTAACAGCATTAACCGGCTGGGCTTTGTTATGGAGACGTATTTCCAGTGAGGTACGAACTTAATATTTCTGTATTAAATTTAGACGATATTCAGATTTCGAAGGGTTAATTGGTGGTAACAGCGTTGCAGAAGATAATCACGGACGGTTATCCGGTTCCAGGGCTCTGACTCTCGACTCTGAACAAGTCTGACTACGTTCCTGGGGTAAGTTAAACAGTGCCGGTTCCTTTCTGCGTGAGAAAATTTAGGCGGACGAATCGGAGGCTCCTTCCACCATGTCTGCAACCGCGCTGTCTAAAGAATTCAATGTAGGCCTACTACGTAAACGGCTATCGAAGTTAACTGTAAATGACTTCAAGATACTATATATAGACACCTCATACGAGTTCAATGCGGTCCACAGACTAGATTCACGAACAAAAACATTAACACAAATGCCCACATACTAGCAGACTGAAAAGAAGTGTCCAGTTAATCTTTGATGCTCTCTGGGGGAGGGGGTGGGGTTAAATCGTGCGAATATTTATTACCTTTCCCCCCCCCCCATTTGTCCTGACTCAAGATTGACATAAACATTCATTCAACCAAAAAATCAACTTGTGACCTGCAAACGGCTTCGGTTTAAAACTGGCTCTTACAAAGAAACAAAAGAAATCAATACAGAAGTTAGAGTCACCACTGTACTCCATTAAGCACCATAAAATTAAGGAGAGTGGAGGCATCAATCTATTTATTCTTAACCTCGATCCTAGATACGATAAGCAGTAAGCTTCACGCTGAAACTCCTTCACTGCCAGGACAAAGGCTCTGCACACTTATTGGACAGGAAGTTAGTGGACCCCAGTGCTGGTCTGGACCATGTACAGAGAAAAATTTCTTTGTTCCTACTGGGAACCGGATCACAAGCATACTGACTGTGATATTCCAGCTCCCTTTTCGTGTAGGAAGGAGATGAAATTGTGAGAAACAAAAGATGACACTCTTCAAGAACCTTGTATGTTTTCCTCAATGGGGGGGAAACTGGATCACTGGCTGCAGGAGAGGTATGCCCTTCAGAGCTTCTACTGATGGAAAGTGAGAAATGGGCCCACTCCCATGGCTCACCATCTCAGGAGGAAGTAACTGTCTTGTACTCAGAGAAAACACAAAACACTATGCCTACCATGTGTAGACTTTGTGCTATGTGAAAGCGAAGGCCAATCAAAAAGGCAGGAGCTCAGGGAATGGTTTTACTGTTTCCTGCAAACATACAGTACTTGACAATGTGGGCAGACTATTGGTGGTGGTGGTGGTGGTGGTGGGGGGGGTGACATGCCAGAACCACAGTCACAGGAGCGATACATGACTAGGGTAGCTTGAAGAAGCCAAACAAATATCTTCCTCCTTAACACAGACAGATCCATGAGGTTATCTCATCAGATAGTACTGCAGTTCATATTATCATCAGAAAGTTGATAAATTCTATAAGTTTCGGGGTTTTCATGGCAGTGATAATTAAGCTTGCAGTCCTTCTGGGTGAAAGAGACCACTGGGAAAACCAAGGCATAGATGGGTGGACAATATTAAAATGGAGAGATAGCATGTGATGGTATGGATTGGACTGATCTGGCTCAGGATAGAGACCAGTGGAGGGCTCTTATGAACACAGGAATGAACCTTTGAGTTCCATAAAATGCTGGGAAATTCTTGAGTAGCTGCAGAATTGGCAGCTCCTCAAGAAGGGCTCAGCTCCATGAGTAAGTAAGTTAAGTCCTGCTGGGTGACACCATGTAGTGTTGTGGGGCTGACACCACAGATCATAGGAAAACCCTCCTTGTATCTTGCCCATATAGCCAGGATTACTGCTGAACTTACACACTTAAGCCCTGAAGACAGAAGCAGCGTGTTCCTCTGAAACTTCTCTATCCACCCAAAGAAATCTTAACCAAGCAGACAACAGTTCTATATTTAAATTATAATGTGACCCAGAGCCAGCATAATGAACACACAGGAGTTCTCTCTCACGAGGCTGCCTGCTGAGGCAGCCTTATGGGTGTTCCAGACAACGGGAACTACTATTGAATTTCAGATTCTTACAGCAGTGACTATTGAGAGTTTCCATCTTCTGACATGTGAGTCTGTGTAATCTGGTCAAAGTTAACCGGTGCTTCAGAAGAACACACAGTCTCCATCTTCAGGGTCAGAGAGTAATCAAAGTAGGAACAAAAGAAGATGCAGAGAAAAATTTCCCCCGAAGTGTCTGTCAAGTTTCAACTGACTGCACAACAAGACAGGACTGTTCAATATGAATTACTGGCTGCAAGAGCAGGTCATTAACGCCTGGCTCTAACAATCCCACTCACTGTCTGTTCGCTGCAAAGTGAGTACAGAAGTGGGGCAAATTGTTTCCAATTATACAGGGTCCGGCAGGAAAACCTGATGGATTCTATATTAGTATAATGGAGCCAATTTTTATTTATTTTACTTATTTTGTTTTATTACTTAACAATGTATGCCATTTTGTGTATATAACTGCCAGCTCATTTTGTCTTGAAAATTAAGCCCTCCAGATGCTTTCCATCTCTTTGAATGCGTTCTTGCAGCCTCATCGCTGAGTCAGGGTAAGAGGGTCACTAGTTTTAAGAAACGTCTCGACTACAAAAGCACAATGTTCCGTGGTCTGCTGTTCCATGTCTACTAAAATGGCATACTCTGAGCTGTGGAAGGTCAGTGAGCCCTCTCTTCTTACCCCACCAAACCCCAAACTAGTGCCAAATTAAAAATGTCAGGTTTCTTTGCAAGACCCTGTACAAAGGTAAAGGTAAAGGTACAAGCTTATGTAAAATATTAGTAATTTTTTTCTGTGTGGTCGCCACAGGAGGGTTAAACTGTGGACAAGAAAGTGTTATATGTGACTGCTTATCCCTGCAGCCAACCTTCACATCCTCCATCCGTGCAACCTGAGGATGGGCCATGCTGTGATGACAAGGGGCTCATTGGAAACGTACTATAAAGATTACTGTTTTCTAGAATGTGACACTGTATGTCTGGCAGAAGTTCAACGTTTGGAGGATGATGCTGCCTCTGTCTTCAGGCAAGCTGTATGGCCAGAATACATGGCATTACATCCCAGAAGATAGTAACTCTTCCCTGTCTGGTGGAGATCTTCCGAACATTTTGGAAGAACATGCTACTTTCATCTTCGGGATCTTCCCTTTTTCTACCCTGAAAACGGTGGCAAAAGACTTCCCCGAAATGTTGGTAAATATCTACCAGGTTAGGCGGTGTCACATCCGAGAAGACATTAATTTTCAGTCACAGCTGTAAGAACCTCAGTCTCACATTGGCGTACTAGAAGTTCCATAAACAAGTCACAATTTCAACATAACGGATTCCGGCCATATACAATTCTATGAGGACCTGTCGCTAAAATATTGATGCGCAAACGTAAATTTCAAACCTTAAGTAACTCATTTTTTGTCACTGCTTTTATACCTAACGAGCCTAAAACGTCGTTATCAGCTGCACTTACTTGGTTAATACGTGTTGTGCACTCAATACTAAATGAAGTACAATTGCGTTAGCGTTCTACAAAAGTTCGCCATTCTATAAATAGCAGAGGGGAAAAAAAACTAACTACACATTCGTAAACGTTTAAGAAATATACAAACATAATTTCAAGGTTTCCTTACGTCACATGACGACTGTTTTGAATCAGTGCTTGGGCATGGCAAAACTTTATTACGAGCCTAACTGTCCGAAATAACCAAATTCACAGCCAAATAACAGAGCACGCAAACATTATTTCGAGCACAACTCACCCTGAAAATCGGCTGCATCCCCAACAACACATACGAGTAAGACGGGAACAAATCACATCCAGCCAAAATGCAGCATTAACTTAGGCCACACTTGATACCACAAATACTGGAAAATTCTGATTCATACTGTACTGTGGACCGCTGTGGGCTTCTAACCAATGCAGCCAACACACGTAAATTGATTCCTAAACCGGTGAACGCATGCTATCAATTTGTACTGCAACTTCTATGCACAACCTAGCGCCACCATGTCTTATCTGCGATTGGGAGAAGCTGGAATGAGCAATGCTGCCAACATCTAAATATGATACTCATGTTCAGATTTCGCAATCTGGCAGGTTCCCATTACCTTTGTACGAGAATGACCTTGCTCTAGCTGGAAACTTTCGTGGATACTCCGCATTATGTAACTACAGGATTGGTGTCTTTGGGTTTGCTTCCGTCATCCGGGTAAAGCATAACATTGTTTATGTTGGGTCAAACTCTACACGACGATGACAACTTTTAATTACGTGTATGTGCTCAAGGAGAATGAGGTGGATAGGGCATGTAGCACGAATGGGGGAGATGAGGAATGCATATAGGATATTGGTGGGAAAGCCAGAAGGAAGGAGACCAGTGGGAAGACCAAGGCGTAGGTGGGTGGACAATATTAAAATGGATCTTAGAGAGATAGGATGGGGGTTGGATGGTATGGATTGGATTGATCTGGCTCAGGATAGGGACCAGTGGAGGGCTCTTGTGAACACGGTGATGAATCTTCTGGGTCCATAAAATGCTGGAAAATTCTTGAGTACCTGCAGATTTGGCTTCCCCTCAAGAAGGGCTCAGCTCCATAAGTAAGTATTTTTTTATTGCTAGTGGGGTGGGACTAAGTCCCTTGTACTGTGGCCACTTCTGGCCTATTGTACCAGCCCCAGATGATAAGTGAGGGTGATTGTGGAGCAATTGGTGGAATGAAGATTGGCAGGGGAAACCGAAGTACTCGGAGAAAACCTGCCCCGGCGCCACTTTGTCCACCACAAATCCCACTTGACCAGACCCGGGATCGAACCCGGGCTGCCGCTCCGGATAGTCTGGTGGATGCTTGGTGACGTTTCGGAAGAACGTATTGCCTCCATCTTCGTGGCTGAGGAGTAACCTAAGCCAGCAACAAGCTGAGTCCTAGACAAAGGCGCAGCCTGCCTCACTATCTTCATGACAAGCAGTTACCGGGGGTGGGTCGCCCGGGGTTTACAACAGCCCCTTGTAAATGCAGTGTCAACTGTAATGGAACTTCCAGGACAATAATGGACTGGCAAAGAATTGTCCTTAGGGGATATAAGAGGCTTACGGCCCTTCAAGTGACTAAGGTGCCGTTGTAGCATGACCTAAGTAAGATAACTGGACTTGCTCTTATTGTTTGTTTAACGACACTATCAGTAACTGAGACTGTACGCGTCGAATGCCTCGACGTTGGTGAGAGGTTCTGAACATGTGCACATTGGAGCGGTCCGGGCTTAACTATAATACACTACGCTGGTATTTGTCTGTAGGGACTGAGGATAACCACTAAGATCCTCAGTGATGATAGCCGGTGTCCCCGCCTTGATTCCAACAGGGCAGCAGCCGAATGTAAGGCATAAGCATTGCGACTGGTCTAGTTTTCTGGCTGCTTTTCATGGGCAGATGTTAACTTCATTTCTCAGTTGTTAAACTGGGTGAATGCTTCCAGCTTCTGGCCACAAGCGGGCACGAAAGAGAGCGAACCTCCACGCCGGCGAGCCAACAAGACAGCCGTGTTAACAAACGCAGGGCATTACAGGACCTACTTCTGCAAAGAAACCACGAGATAAGGCAGAGTACCGAAGGAGATAAGGAGCAGGGGGCAAAAAGGAACTGAACACGAGATAACGAATCACAAGGAAAAGATTAATATAAATAAAACGCATTAAAATGGTAAAAAGGTAAATCTATCCGTGTAACAGGACGTCGAGGCTCCCACATTTTGTAGACAATCGGTTCACAGATGGCGGTGAGGTTTGTCAGCCTTACGCGCCGGCTGGCCTTTACTCCCAGGAAAATTTCTGGTACTCATTTCTGTTAGAGGCTGAGTCGACCGCAGCGCCATAGTGCGGCTGGAATGATTAGGTCAGTTGAAAAATCGGGAATCCAACCCGCGACATTCTGGCTTGTAGCATAGTGCCTCAACCATTTCGGCCTATGAACATGGGTGATGTGATGATATCACAACGTCAGAGATAACTAAATAACACTATTCCCATCTTCTGAGAGGCAGGAAACGAGAGAAATGCCATTCACGTTGGATCCAGTCCTAATATCTCATGGGAAAACGGGTGAAGGCAGAACTGAAAAGGTAAAGTTGTCCTCGTGCTTAGTTAACTGAGCACTACGCCATGAAGACGTATGGAGGAAGTGGAGATATATTTCTGCCATTCTTGACCTCGAAACTAGATGGACGTGAGCGGTCAGCTTCACGCCGTTGCCGCTTTATCCCCCAGAGAAAGCGCTCCCGGTACCTACTGGGTGGGCCCCAGAGCCGGTCTGGACAAAGTGAAGTACAGAGAAATCGAACCCCGGCCGTCTATCCCGTAGCTATACCTACTGAGCTAACACGGCACTGCTACGAAACAGAAATGCAACCCAAAAGTTAGTTACGACACCAACGGAAGATAACCGTCCGGTCATCATTGTCACGTGACTGTCTTATACCCCTACGCCCTTGGGGCGGACGGCCTCAGTCCGTGATGAATTTGTAATGCTGGGGACTCTTTTTGAATTTCTTAATTTGTAATTTATTCCTGCTGGGAAACCTGTCACAAACGGAATGTTGATCCGTAGACATCTCTACCTAGACGAACAGTCGGAGGCACAGAACAACCCTACAGGTAGGTCCAAAAGCTTCAGTCCGTTACAATCACAAACCGAATGGAGCACAGCTAATCGAAAGATGACGACAGTCAACTGAAAATTACTGTCTTATGGGACAGTACGCCGTGTAGTCTGGTAAATCGTTATTCTGCAGACGTTTCGGAAAAGAAAACTGCTATCATCACCTTTCTTCTACCCTGAATACGGAGGCAGCAAGTTTCTCGGAGCCGTTCGTAACGGTACGTCAAGCTACACGGCGCAAATCCCGGAATACAGTAACCTCCACCGTCGTGAGCGGTCGTGAGCACCTCAAGTCTCATGCGACGCTCAACTTTCACCGAAATTTCAGGTCTCTTATACAACCCGATGGTTCATCACCTTCACAACAGTCAGCCACTGAGCCAGATTCATCCACACCTTATTTCTTCAACGTCCACTTCATTGTCGTATATGACTGCCAATTGGTATATTCTTTTCAGGTTTGCCAACACAAATTTGTTTTATTGCTAGTGGGGTGGGACTAAGTCCCGTGTACTGCGGCCACTTCTGACCTATCGTACCAGCCCCAGATGATAGGTGAGGGTGATTGTAGAGCAACTGGTGGAATGAAGATTGGCAGGGGAAACGGAAATACTCGGAGAAAACCTGCCCCAGCGCCACTTTGTCCACCACAAATCCCACTTGACCAGACCCGGGATGGAACTCGGGCCGCCGCGGTAGGAAGCCAGCAACTAACCGCTTGAGCTATGGCGCGGCCAAACCCAAATTTGGTTCATATTTGTGTTAGGTCTTTCCGAAGAACCTGTCCAGGCCCGAGGCCCAGTGTAACATAACGTAACGAGACAGCGTTCCCTTTTAACGGGAGAATGTGATGTGAAGTGGGGGGGGGGGTCCTGTTCGATTTGGGATCGAACCGAAGGCTTCGAAGTGAGAAGCAAACCCGCAATCGCCTGAGCTACGACCTGGCCTTGAAAGCCGAACCACTGAGAGAAACCGTTTTCCTAGTGCCGCTTTGTTCACCACAAATTCCACACGGATTGTCCTGGGACCGAACACTCACCTCTACCGTGGGCTGAGGGCCGAAGCGTCCATATGCCTTTTTCTCATTTTCCTGCTCCATCCCCCACTTCTCCGTCTTAGTTTTTCGTCTCGACTTCCTTATTAATTTATCAGTTCCTCTTTATCTTCCTTTGTCTACATAGTTATTCTCCTTAAGGTAAGGTAAAACTGTCCCTGTGCTTAACAAATTAAGCACTAGCTGGAGGTGAGTGGTCAGCTTCAGGCACCGGCCGCTTTACCCTCGGTACCCATTGGATAGACATCAAAGCCAGTCTGGACGACATGGAGAAGAGAGAATTCTTGACCACACCGGGACTCGAACTCCGACCCTTCGATCGTCCAGCCCGTAGCCAGTCGCTATCCCGGCTCCTTCCCTGACCCTACGTCATGTTTACTTCTGGCAAAAGTAGGGATGCCAGAAATGCGGTAAGCAGCTTCAGAGTGGTAATGCCAGGCTGCATACCGACGTGGCGCTTGTGAGGGTGAGTCACTGACAGAAGCAGGGCTATTGTCGGACATCGAGACTTATGTGTGGCGGGGAGGAGTATGTTCTTGTTTTTACTATTTAAAGTCATTTTCTTAACCGGCATGCCGCACTCTGATCTTCAACGTGTTTATAATTCAAACACAAAGGTAGAACAGTTGTACTAAGGAAATTTCATTCAAAAGGGAAATTTTGAACACTCTTTTTTTGCTCTTTAGGAACTGGCTAACAGAATCACATCTGCATCCTGATGAGAATTTAAAGAAGCCACGGTTATGAACTTCTTCAGGCGTCCATGTCTCTCAGAGTTTCAACTAAGCAAGTCGAAACACATGTGACAGAAGCACACGCGGTTCCCGTTGCAGTCCCCAGTTCGAAATCCTTTTCAACAAAAGGCACACCAATACACATTTGAACATAACAGGAAACCACCGAACTTCAGGGTCGAGTAGGTAATATTGTTGTTTCCCATCCGAGAGGTCCCGGTTTCAAATCTCACCTCCAGAATTAATTTCGCTTAGCAGGGGGTGGAGTCCAACTGGGTCCACTCGGCACGGCGGCCACTGATTGGCCTATTGCAGCCTGTCCCGGGTGATTATGATGATGGAGAGTTTGGCGGAATGAAGATTGGCAGGGGAAACCGAAGTACTCGGAGAAAACCAGCCCCAGCGCCACTTTGTCCACCGCAAACCCCACTTGACCAGACCCGGGACCGAACGCGGGCCACCGCGATGGAAAGCCAGTGACTAGCCGCTTGAGCTATGGCGCGGCCTTTTATCCACAGAAACTGGCTGTCTTGAGTGAAATATCGTGTTTTGGATATTATCAGTCGTCCTGTTTATTTTTAGATAGAGAGAGGGCGTCCAGAAACATAATATTTGTACTAATGTACAATCATCACAAACTTTTAGAACCTGAGTGAAGTTTCTTCGGTTTTTGTCAGTCCGTCCTGACATAAGCCGGGTTAGTACCTCAAATCAGGCCACGACCGTTTCCTTACACGTTCTTTCCAATTCACTAATCACTAATCATGCTGCCGTTCGGGACGGAATTATTGTCTGCGGAATATTAATAATTAATAGACCAAATAAATAAATAAATAACTAAATGTCTATTGACCTTCTGTATTTCATGGGTAAAATTTGGTATGTTTGCCGAAAGGCTATTATAAATAAAGAAGGGATATTGCAACAATAAGCCTATGTCTGTAAACAACAATAACAATAACAATAATAATGATAATGATAGGAATATTTAAATATTTATTATGCTCTAGGTTCTAGATCTCGAGGTCATCGTACAACAGTGCACAAAAAATCGTTCTATGAAATAGCGCCGTGCAGTCCGGTGAAAGTCAAAAGACGTTTCGGATGAACATATCATCTCCGTCTTCAGCGTCGAAGAGTAAGCCACGCAAGAAACCAGAATTACGCATGCAGCAATACTCTTAGACCCTGAAGATGGAGGAGACATATTCATTCGAAACGTTGGTTGATTTCCACCGGACTACACGGAGTCATACACCATAAGACATAATTGATCACAGTGACCGCTGTGAGAACCTGAAATTAAACGCCGTTACAATTTCCTTTTCAGAGCGCCACGAACGTTCTGACTTCTTCAGAGCACTGTATCACAACTCCACGTGCTAAATAATTAAGTCAGGAGACGTTCGAAGATTTCAAAGAAGTCCCTTACGTAAGCAGAATACGAGAATAAAGCTGGCTTCTGGTTGTAGTCTTGAAGCCTTTAAGCATATATCGCGGGTTGCGTGACCTCAATAAGAGCTCCAACCGCGAAGCTTTTCAGGTTTAGCGATAGGAGAACGTGTACCAAGCTCTGATATTCCACAAAACAATTCTCCCAATCAAGTATAAACATTTGAGGATTTCAGTGGCAACCACAGACTCTGAACTTATGCACAAAACGGACGAAGACTTCAGTAAAATGGAAAAGCCAAATGTAATGGGCTTGAATTTGAAGTTGCTGCAAATATCTGGAATAATCGCCCCAACGGAGATCGAAGCTAGTTCCTTCAGGATGACTTTATATAAATTATATTTCATATGTTGCTACCTCATATATTTCCCGGTGTTGTCAGGGCAGGTCCTGGCTTTGTACCACTTCTGGGGAGACATTGATGTCACCAGCCATTGCATCTTTAATTTACTTGGTGCATTAATGTGTTTCGTTGAAGCCACATATGCCAGATTTAACACAAGGGAAATCGCAAAACTATTCGAGACATTTCAAAACCAAGTCATGCCCAAAATGTCAACCGTTGGCTTGAAAGAGAAGCGAAATACAATTTTCGATTCAGCAAATAAGAAGGCACGCCAGATCACTGTGATCGTCATGATAACTTTGGATGTGATGGTAGCTGCATGGATACCAACCCCATTTATAAAACGTTTAATGGAGGAGCACAACAATGCGACAAACTATGAAATTGAGGATGAAAAAAAATGGCTTAATTTTTGTTATATTATCTGGTTTCCGATTGACATTACAAAGTCACCATACTTCGAGATAATGTATTTTATGGAGTGCATTGTTTTCTTAATAGCAACGACATATAGGAAGGCTTTAGATACGACTGTGGCAGCCATGATGGTGCACATATCGGCCCAATTTCAGATCCTGTACACTGCCCTGGAGGACATGGACGCAATCATGTTCCTTGCTGAGGAGGAGGAGGAGAAGAAGAAGTATGTAAGAGAATTACGATTCTTAGAGTCGAGAAAACTCTCAGGACGAACGGAAAATATGTCTCTGGGAGGTGAACCTCAGTACACAGGTTTGGGCTCGCCTGTCAGACATGATATTCAAGAATGGAAAGTATGTGATAATGTTGTCGATACAGACATCGAGGATGGTTGGATGGAGAAAGAAGACCTTCCAGAACTGACACGTTATTTGGCAAACTTCGTCGAGTATCACCAGACTGTAATTGAGTAAGTAAGGGTTGGACAGTATCGGCAGAAAGATGATTTATATTGAAATGCAATATCATACATGTGTACTGTTTTGAGGCTTTACGGCGGTGACTATGAAGAAAGCAGTCTTCTGGGATTTGGCACCGTGTATATGTGGTGTTAACCGACGTTCCTCCGAAACGTCGGTTAACACCACATATACACGGTGCCAAATCCCAGAAGACTGCTTTCTTCATGTGTACTGTTGTTACCGACGAGGAGGAACCTGCTGCGCCTTTCTTCAGGATAGGAGGGTCAGCCGAGCGCGGAAACAATTGGGCACAGATGAAGTGAGGGCGAGGACCGGATCCCTGAGCGAACCAATAGGAATCAGGAGGAAAGTGCAGTAGAGCGCTCAGATCAGCTCAGATCCATTAACGGGTAAAGTTCGTCAGAAACTTTGATAGCGATCTGCTATACAATACGGCGTCATATCGCACAGGACAGTTAGGTCTAAACTCCATAATTACTGTCGCGATAATATCATATCTCGCATTCGAACTCTGTACTTTCTACTAACAAAATATTCGGTCCGGAGGTTTGAACCGATCGCGTCCCAAATACAAATTTTGAGTACCATCGCGACTCCAACATGTTAACGAACGCTAAGATTATGATCTTTTTCTTTGTGACTCCATGTAGCACTGAAACTTTCAGAAAAATGTCCTGCCTCCGTCTTCAGGGTTGAACTCAGTAGGGTGAGGACATGGTTTAATTACAGTAATCATTACTTAGAGTTCCTAAGATTGTTAACAATTGCTTAATTTCTACAACTTTATACAAGAAATGTTGCTCTGCCAGCAGTAACCATACCTAATCGCTTGCTTCTTAGATAACATCTTGTGGGAAAACATTCTGTAGCTGTGATAACAGTTTTCCTGGCTGTGGTAACATTTTTGTATGAATGAATTAATTCTTACATTCAATGTCACAGTTTCCAACCGGCCACCCATTAGGTCCCACTGGTTGAGACATACAGTTCAGGCCTTTGGCTTCAGTACATAATCATTATTATATATTATACAAGATAAAATCTTTGCAGAGCTTATTTGAAACCCCCTGTGGCTAATATTTGGAGATTCTGTAACACTAAAGGTTAAAGGAAAAAATGTAAAGTTAGCATTGTACTTAATTATGTAATGAACTTATATGGGGGAGTGGAGGTATAGCTCCACCATTCTTGACATGAGCACTAGATGGAGGTGGGTGATCAGGTTCATGTCCCAGTGGCTTTACACCCAAGGATATGGTGTCTGACGTCCATTGGCTAGGGGGCTGGGTGGGCTCCAGGCTTGGTCTGCACTCTACAAGGAAGAGAAAAAAAAATCTCTTGCCCCCTGCCAGATTCAACCCTGGTTGCTCAGCCTTATCACTATACCAACTGAGCTAACCTGGCTCCCATTTGTAACAGTAAGAGAAGCATTTTGCTAGAATGTATCTCATTAAATAAAGAGAATTGAACAATTCGTTTGTTCCAGTTTCGCTTCAGATGTCAACAAAGCAGTTGGTCCGATCTTTTTTGTCTGCTTCTTCGTTCGTCAATTCCTAGGATGCGTCACATCATTCCAAGTAGCACTGGTACGTTGCGCTTAGTTGCCACAGCAGCAACCGTAAGCTTTAAGATCTCTTGCACACATATCAGTGTCTTACGGTATCTCTTCACACTGGCCCCGACGGAACAAAAGCAGGTCTTTGAAACATTTGTTTCTGTAATGCAGCTGTTCACCCAGAAAGGATGTTAGTGTATTCATTTGCTGTCAAGAGAGTCAAATATTAAATTTTCTAGACCATCTCATGACAATTGCACACCTATTTATCTTGCTCTCTGATTGCAGATGTGGGGCCAAGACAATAGTATTTTAAAATTTATATTTGGCTTCGTTGCTGCCATGTGTTCTCCAATGATATTCTGCTGGTATGGTACAGCCATCATAGAAAATGTGAGTAAAACAAACTTGAAGAGCTTCAAAAACTGCAATCATTTGTCTCATTTTTACTATAAATATATTCTTGTTGAACTAACGAAGAACTAGAGCAGGGTTGGATTTGAGTTCCTCAAGATGGTGACTAAAAAAGACAGCAGTCCCGTGGACGGTAACACTGCGTAGTTCAGGACAGTCCACCAATTCGGAGGAATGTGTTGCCTTCCCTTTCAGGGCTAAGGAGAAGGGCAAACAAGAAAGTGCAGAAGCACATAGCAAGCTCAGCCATCTGCTTTTTGTTGGCTTCTTACCCCCTCAACCCTGAAGACCGTACACCCCATACTCTTAAGTATGGTTTTGAAAACCACCCGTAAGTTTTGCCTTACTTGTCCACCCATAACTAGGCTAAATATAGTACTTCTTTTGGCTTATTCTGGACTTCACCCATCGTCCGGTATATAAAAGACAAAAAACCATGATGTTTCGGAGACTGGATCTGTCTCCGTCTTCAGGTGGATAGGGAAGGTTAAACCTACTCAGTTGGGCCCCTTAGAAAGAGCTAGTCTCAATCACTGGTCCAGTGATATACCAGACGATGGGTGAAGTCCAGAATAAGCCAAAAGAAGTACAGTATACACCATCGTCAGAATCCTTTCAAGTCTGTCTAGGCTAAATATGTTTCCAAAGATGCAACAGAGATAGATTCAATAAATTACAATTCTTTCTGTGTAAAATACGGGAAATGGGCTCGAAATAGTATCTGTGTAAGACCCCTAAAGAGGCCACATGGTGGTAATCTCACGCAGAAAAAAGAAGTGTGGGTGGGGGGGGGATGCTGAGCTAAATTAAATTTATGTGCGTTATTTATGACATTCTCAGTATCTCGTCTATACAGCACTGGACAGTAGGATGAATGATGAATTGAACAGGATCTGGAAGTGGTTGTGACCTAACGGAAGTACTGTCCTAGCATTTACTTGGAGGGACTGAGAAAAACCACAAAAGACCTGTCATGACAGCCTGTGCACTGGCCAAAATTTGAGCTCAGCATCTCCAGTATACCAGTCTAAAGTGCAACTACTAGACCAACCTGTTCAGTAAATTTAATTCATTGCTGGTAGAGACTAACGGGATACTCTAGTGAAAACAGTGGCCAATGGGGATCTATTATGCATGAGATTTCCTGCTTCATAATTTGTATAGTGTGACCAAATCAGTCAGGATGAGGTGGGTGGGACAAAGCACACGAGACATGTGTACAAAATTTTGGTTGGGAAATTAGAGCGGAGCAGGTCACTTGGAAGACCAAACTGTTGACAAAATATTAAAATGAATCTTAAGGAGAGTCCATTGGCTGGGTCTTCTGAATGTGGTAACAAACCTTCAGGATGTTATATTTTAGTGTCCTGTTACACTGATTCATGTCCATGGTTTATGCTAACCGTCTTACAGTGTATACACTTATTCACCTTATTCTTCAGTTCCACACTACATGTTTCAGCACTAATGTGCCATCCTCAGGTGTCTTTATGCACGTTAAACTATTGTACTGCATGCCGTGATGTCTTCATTCTAAAATGACTAAAATCTGTGTTCGTCATATAGTGCGATGAATTCTAAATAATAAAACTTTCAGGATTCATCCTATGTCGCGCTCAAACATGCGCATTATGCCAATCCTCTTTTATGTGAGCATTCTTCCTACATACATTTGTGTATTTGTAACGTGAAAACACAACACAGAACACGGTAAGTATTAAATATTATAGAGCCATATGTAACAGAGAAAAGTCAGAAAGTGGTATTAATGAAAAAACAATTTCACGTTACAAATACACAAATGTATGTAAGAAGAATGCTCACATAAAAGAGGATTGGCATAATTCGCTTGTTTGAGTGCGACATAGGATGAATCCTGAAAGTTTTATTATTTAGAATTCATCGTCCTATATGACGAATATAGATTTTAGTCATTTTAGAATGAAGACATCATGGCATGCAGTACAATAGTTTAACGTGCATAAAGACACACCTGAAGATGGCACATTAGTGCTGAAACATGTAGTGTGGAAGTGAAGAATAAGGTGAAAAAGTGTATACACTGTAAGACGGTCAGCATAAACCATGGACAAACCTTCAGGAGCTATAAAAGGTGGGAAAATTTCTTGACATACAAATGAATATTGGCTTTTGAAGGATTCTGCTCCTTAGAGTCAGAGATAACTTTAGTTCTCAATAATTCACACCGACTTCAATTATTGATATCACTTTCACATTCGAGAGAACTGTTCATTTCTAATCAGGGGTGTCCACATATTCATCGCTGCAGTTTTTACAGTGCCCATATGTGACTGCCTGTTGTTCTTGGTGTGCAGAGTCGTGAACTACAGAAGGCTGCCTTTGAGTGCCAGTGGTATAAGCACTCCAAAGCGATGAAACACTTTCTGCTGATGATAACTGTACGTTCTCAGAAAGCTGTGTATCTGTCAGGATGTCAGTACTATGTCGTGTCTTTGCAAACATTTGGCAAGGTACAGTATCTTTGGTTTCAAACAACAGTGTAATATATATGTAACAAAAAACCAAATTCCTCTCTCCGTAACCACCAGAGAAGCCTCTAACTTAAATGACCAAGGATATGACAATGTGCTGCCTGATCAGGGCTACTGCACATGTCAAGAGGGCAATGATAGATCAATGCTGGAGTTCATTTGAGAGGTGCCCATATCATAACGGCACAAACTACCCTAACAGCATTTTCATGATCTTCCTCAGTCCTTCCATGGAAATAAGACAGTATTACAAATTATGCCCCGACTACTTCCATCAACATTACTTCAATTCATACCATCGGACACTATAGTCTTAGGTACTCACGGATGTCATCAAATAAACCACAGGTAAATAAATATATAGTCTTAAGCACATGCATTTACTTTTCATCAATGCAAATGATTGTCTACTTCAAAACATCATATGTCGAACTGTCCTGGCAACAGTTATGTCATCACTAGAAAGTACTAGATTCTATTTTCAACATATAATAAGAACCAAACACCAAACCAGAGATCTTGCTCAGTACATGACTTTTCTTCCGTGAGGTTGCCCATTCAAGGTGTGACATAACCTCAAAAATGCTTTATTTCCATGCATGAAGCATGTATCATTGTGTCACTTTCTTACCATCACCATCATATTCTTCGATGATATTCTGATACACCTGTGTGCAGTGACAATGCTAAAGGCTTGACGGATTCCAAGAAAAAAAACCTGTTATGAGTGTAATAAGCAATGTATTATGTATATTTCTGTATTTCCATGTTCCACAAAAGTTCCATGTAACATTCATACTGCAAATCCGTCTGACATCCTCTTCGCATCGAACAGTCTCCATCTATTGCATAACATATCTGAAAATTTTGCTGTGTCATTATGCATATGCCTGTGATGTTTTATTACACAAATACCAAATTCTGCCAAAACATATCTTTATTTGCTTTGTTTGCTTAATGACAATATGAACATTATGTTTCAGATGATGAATACTATGTATGCCTACTTCACCCTTCTCAAGAACCAGTATAAGTACTAACTACTGTCAGCCACTCTTCGATGAAGTCAGTAAAACTTGCGAACAGTCTCTACAGTTGTCTACTTATTTTTGGTTTCAGAGATAATTATCCATTTGCATGATTATTCAAATGCAGTGACTCAAGACTCATACAAATGGCATAGAAACAAGCACAAAAAAACTTACACCAAATGAATACTATTGTAAATGGTAAATGTTTAGAAAAGTACTCATCCCAACCCCTTACACATCTCTATCAAACCATTATTAATACTAACAGAATAGACAGGACAAAACGAAACTGCCCACTCATCTGTGGGCATCTACAGAACTTACATCATTGTGATCGTGTTACAGTACACATATTCAAGAACTTTCAGTGATCAATCTGTTACGTAGCCTATGGAGATTCCCATGCAAGAAGTGAAGCCAAAACTTGTTGTTTTAACATTTTATTGCGTTTCTGTAAGAGTTTTTCTTACACAAAACCACATCCTATCCCCCATACATGCTGTATATCACGGCACTTACTTACTATACATGATCAAAGTGTGCTGAGAGATACTTTGTCTTGTCACAGGATACTTTAATCAGACTTCAGTTCGATATGGCAGTATGAACGACCACCAGTGCATGCCTGAACTCAGATATGGGAGTGACAGTGTCAAAAGGGATATCACTCTGTGTGTGTCTGTGTTTATACAGCATTTTAGAAAAGCAACCCACACAACAATGAAACCAGAAGCTGCTCCCCCCACCCACAGCTTTCCTTGTGGCAGTCCGATCAGTGTCTCCCTGGTTGCTAGGCTGCTGCTGTCTCCAGTCAAGCATGGGGCCATTCACAAGCATAATGTGTGTTAAGTCGTGAATATTACTTTGCATTAAAACCATTTTCTATTGTTTATGAAGGAACAGCAATGAGTGCCCTGACAAGGAAGTATGGCTGTCGTCTGTAAGCTTGCATATACTGTTGTCGAGTAGTTTAGGATACATTTTAAATGGCACATACTGTACAATGTAATTATGCTCAAATTTACTTTGCAATAAATAATTAACCATGAAAGGATTAATTTCCAGTTTTAGGGTACAAAAATTCTGGGTACATCAACAAAATAGGAAATAGATGTTACAGAATGTAAAATTTTGATCTTCAGATTGTCACAATTGTAAACATTCATAACTGGTCCTAATTTACAACTGACAAGTTAGAACACGGTTGGGCTCGTAACTGTCAGAGACAACATTTTGTAATATCTATACACATCCCTAATTTAATTAACATTCTTTGTGCAAGATGCAGTGAAGGGTCACAGAACAAACAGCTGATTTACGGATCCTCATTTGAAGTCATTCTCTCGTCTGAATATCCTAATAACATTCAGTAAGAGTATGCATTACGAAGCTGCTCATTATCCAACTGAAAGCAGCAAAAACTACAATGCACAAGCCAACCAAATCCGCTAACTCAACACTCATTAAACAACTGTGTAGGTTATACGTCAAATTGCAGGAAGGCTGTGGAGCACAAACAGGAAAGAACAGAGGAAGAGGCAGTTGCAGGCTGTTTTATGGCACTACCCCGAACATTTACTTCAAAGTACTCGGGAACACCATGAAATTTGACTTCAATGTTTGGTCCCGCAGATGGGTAACCAAGCAACACACTGATGTGCTTCAGGGACCTTGTCAGCACATCCTGCTAAATAAGCATCACATTCTTAAATTGTCATCACTCGTCACTCATGGAGCTGAGCCCTCCTTGAGAAGACACCAGTTGTGCAGCTACTTAAGAGGATTTAAATGGCATATTAAACGATTAATATGGTCTGTAACCAGTCATTCATGGTGTATCAGAATCCACTGAAATATCAAACCATAACCAACCACTGAAAACTCACTACTGTTACCAGCGTGGGCTAGGATGCACGATCATGTCAGCTACTAACTCCTCAGTATACATGGTGCATCTCATCGCGTTGCCTGGGACATTAGCTTTCAGAAATAAAATAAACAGGATTTGTCTGAACCATCTCTGAAAGTACATCATACCTCAAGCAGGGAATTTTACAGAAGGGAAATCCAGTGCATTCACTGGTATCTCTGATATGAATATTTTGGAACCAACCATGCATTGAAAGTAGAATTTGATAGCTTTTTAATGATATAATGATCTTTATCACTATCTGATGATAATGCACCCTCAAAGATATTTTATGCATAGTATAACCTGTGGACACTTAATGAGGCTCTCTGTTCAATGAGCCCAATGCCCAGAAAATAAATATCAAAGCTCCGCTTAATGTCTTTGCAGCAGCGATCGAGTGTACCTGATTCTGTTCACATGGCTGTCCTGTTACAGTCAAATATACAATTCAAATTTTGCAGTCTTGATGAGTGGATTTCATCTGCTTATCCGCATACTTCTGCCATCTTCTGGGAATAATCTGAATTACGTTAGTTCCTACTCTGGTAACAGTTTAACTCAAAACTAAGTATTCGTATCTACAATCTGTTTTTATCACATGCTCCCTGTTATCATACCACCCATGAACCATATGCAGTTCTTCTCTGTGAAGATGGTTCCGGAAACAGATAACGATGCCAGTTTTGGGGACAGTGGTAAAGAATCAAATTAATATCTCAGGTAGTGAACATGAAATAGCTGTAAATGACTGAGCAATGAGACAGCAATGACAGAATTTAATAATGCAGCAGTGAAAATGTTAAACAAAATCCGTTCAAAGTAAACATTGTAGTGCATCACACATTTCAACAGAAATTGTGAAGGTCATTTCAACATAGAGCAAACCATATTCTAGCCCGATGACAGACTGAGTTCGAAAACATATAAATTCTATCTGCACTGAGGATACAGAAGGAAAGTCCCACAGACAGTGGTGCTTGAAGCTTCTTCCTTTAGCCATCTCAGGCCTATGTCAACCAGTCCAAAGCAGTTGTCAGTGGCAAAGGTTATAAGAGAATGGCCACATGTCTGGGTGGACCTGCTCAAGAGAAATGTGGAGAGCACGGACCCATGGGACTTCCTTCTGTGGCCTCAATGTAGAGGGTTGTCACTTGTTGAACAGATGGAATTCATAGTAGTAAAATTAAAAGCCATTTAACTGAAACTCTTTCCAGGATATTTAAACATTCTGCACCCTTGAAAAGAAACACATCGTCATACATGAAATACAAGGAAATAATCACAACTCCCCATACTATTATTCCAGTATCTGCCTGGAGTGACTGAAGAAAGACACCAAAAACCTCGGTCAGGACAGCTGATCTGCAGGCCAAGATGCGAACACAGGAACCTCTGTGAGTACAGAGTAACAGTGCTAACCACTTAAACACGGTACTAGGTTGGCAAGAGAGTCTGTTTTCAAAGACACTATTAAACATCAAAATAAAATTTTTCAGGGCAGGTAAATGTATTTTGTTTGCAACACTGAAAGGGTTGATGTATACAACGAAAAGGGTCTTTACATGGCAGAGGCACAGATCAGCGACAGAAAGTAACCAGTGCCCTAAAATCATGGGCACTGCCAGGACTCGTCTGGAGGGGAGTTTACAAACATGTGTTCACGCTGTTTAAGGATAATGATCACTCCCATTTCTCTTCTTACATTGAAACACAGGCGGTGCTGCATTTAAGGACCATTTTAATTTTTGGAATATTCCGCATATTGTCTTCGTTTTCACCCCCCACCACTAAAAACACCAAGGGGAGAGAAGAGATGGCTGGTTTGCCCTTCCTGTCAGTGCCCATGCCTACAATTAAGTTATTTCTGTCAGTCAACAGCATCAAGAGGGAAGTGCACATTCATTTCACACAGACACAGCTGATTGAGAAGACGAGAGAGAGTTTACTTGCTACGAAAGCTTCGATCTTATACAGTGCATTACAACTGCAGTCACATGTCAGACACAGAAAATTGGGGTAATAAAATCTGAAACACAATCCAAAAATTACCATAACCCTCCCCCCCACATTAAAAACTCTCCCAAGACTGTAAAAGTACAAAATTATATCAGAAATAATATAAGGGCACTCAAATTAGAAATAAATAGAATAAGCAGCCTGTAAACAAAAATCAGTGAAGTAAGCCATAAAGAGGAATGGATATAAAGCCTCATACATTCCTAACCTCAGCATCAGTCTGATGTAAGTGGTCAGTTTCACCCCGGGAGATAGAGGCCCCTAACACCCGATGCAGGGCCCCAGGGCCAGTGTGGGTGTGGTCTCCTCTCCTGGAGACTGAACCAGAGTCATACGGCTAATAACCTAGTCACTAGACTGACATATCTTGGCTCATGTCAGTATCAAATACAAATTATTTGTGTCTCTAATATTATCCAAGCCGTTTCTAATTTTGTAATCATCTAAGAGAATCTTTTTATACAGAATTTAATACTGCAATACTGAATGATGTAAAATCTATCCCAACTTCCTTAAAGAGCCTCACGTGCAGAATTCGACAAGTAATTTGAAACATGTCACAAATAAATACAGTCTCTACTAGAGTTGCTCTGCTTGACAGCATATTTGTTTAGATATGACAATGAAAATGACAATTCTAGTACAGTGAAATCCCAATTTAGTATTTAGTGAATATTTTTTGGGGGTCACAGCCAAAACTCAGTATAAACAATGAACTACCTAACCACATTTAGTGAATCTGTTTATCAAATAACTCATTTAGGTGTAAGAAATCTGCAATATTCCAGAATGCTTTCCTCAATTTATTATTGTATTTACTGCTGTAAAAAAAATCCACATTCACGTTTCATCAGGGATTATTGCTACACGATGATCTGTGATGATTGATGTTATATGCTGAACAAGCACTGAATCTACATATCTTGTAGTGTCAAAGTGGCTCTGGTTCCTTCAGTGTTTACTTCATGTGCCGCCATTTACATAAGAAACTAAAGTGGCATTACTGCCTGTGTACTTACATTTACCTACAATTCATTTAATTATTCATATAAAGAAATAATTTTAGCATAATTATATACAGTAAGTCTTATGGAAACTGCCAACAGTTTTTTTGTCATAATTCTCTGTCACAAGCATTCAATAAAGGACCCTGATACAGTGTAGAAAAAGCCACTCCCCTAGACATTAAATAAACAGGGATTTCACTGTATTCTCCTATAAACACATCCAACAAATAATTAATTCCATTTCCCAGATATTATCATATTACACTGTACATTCAAATTACCTGTCCTTGCTTCATCTTTGAACTTGAAAACCTGACATTCAAGAATGCGCAGTCTCCACCAATGTCAAATACCCCAAAGGAGTGCAAAATGTGCAATACAATTTGAAACCCGTAAAAATTACAATTTTGTCTTTCTTTCAGCTCCTCCAGTGAAGTGTACGTGCACCTAAATATTACACTGGAAACAGCAATGCAAGTGTTTTGATACGAATCGATCCAACGAATACGCAATTTTACCAGCCGTTGTTGTTGCATTGCACTTGATATTAAAATTACCTGTCCACGACTCAGTTTTGAACTTCTCAACTCCTGATCCTAGAACCTACGGCCTGTGCCAGCGAAAGCGCCAAAGAGCGGCTGTGATGGTGGTGTACCAAGGGAGGAAGAGGCAGTAGTTGTTGCAGGGGTGGATGTTGATGAAATCTTGCGAAGCAGATCCCCTTGAATGAGGCTGTCCAGTGCTTTCTGTACCGTAGGATCATTGAGCAGTGGCGTGGGGCCTGTCCCAGCGGTACCGCCTTGAGAACCGACAGCCCAAGGGCCACTTACAGGTGCAACTGGTGCAGGTACTGGTGCCACGGGCGCGGGAACTGCAATTGGAATGGGCGCAACAGCTGGTCCACTCACTCCTGATGTGTTGTTCAGGATGTTCAGAATGCGGTGCTGTAGGTCAACCTGTTGCTTATTGGCTGGATCTGGAACAACAGCGAAACTTCTGAGCAAAACCCAGGGTCGAAGGAATAAACCAACCTTGCAACAAGCCATTTTCTTGCGCAACAATATACTTTAAAATGAGAACAGCAATTACAACACATGGCATGAAGCAGAAGTTAAACAAAGGTAAAGTTGTCTCTGTGCTTAATTAAGCACACATGGGTGAAAGGACATATAACGAGACATTCTTAACCCAGACGTGAGTAATCAGGTTCTCCTATACCCAGGGACAGCACCCCCACCATACCCACCCAGAAGGAAGACGGGTGGACCCAAGAGCCCACAGTCTAGTTGCTATACCAACACAAGTAAATACTACTACCAACTTTACAGACCACTATGACCATACCTGTAGATTTAATAGGGGGCAAGTCTTTGGCATCACCAAGCTCAAGTTGGAGTTGCATCTCGCGCTTGTCCTGCAGGTAACGGATCACACGATCATACTGCAGCACTGTCAGTTGCCGATTATCAGCCAGCAGGTTCAGCAACACCTGGGCAGTCGATATGACACAGTGAATTTAAATTCAACCGCATGTATAACATAACTGAGGTGGCCATTAGGAAAACCTTTCAATTTCCAGCACTTTGGCTGCAAATTACAGCAATTATACTGGGAATTCCAGCAATATGAATAGCCTAATTTAATTTGGTTTCAATGTGATTATAACATCACTTTGTTCTCTTGTGATAACTTCAATTATTTTCTCATAAAAACGTACCTTTTGCTGAAAACAATTGCATTCATTTGCCAACTGAGATCGGAAGTTCTCACAGTCGTGGCTGTGGGAACTATCATCTTCTTTACTAGCCTGAGCGGCTGACAGCTTCTCAAGAAGGATGTTGCTACGGAGAACAATCTCTTTGCTGCTACCTACATCAGTTATTCATTTCACAGAATATTGTGACATGACATATAAATCCCAAAAGTGTGCCGTCAGAGAAGCACTGCAGAGATGTCCATTGCTGGACAACAGATTGCTAAAACACGTTTCCATGGCAACAAATAGGCACGCATTGATAGAGGAACTGTTACTTGTGGTCACTAATATTCTGTTCTCCCAAGGTTATAAAGGGAGGACATGTGAGATGACTCAGCAGAGTTCATTCGTGAGTGAGTTGTCACTTGGCATTCTTCATTCGGGATTCACAAGACAGTCATGATTCGACATTCATCATTCTTAAAAGAGATCTCAGAGTTCAGTATCTGCGTGTTAAGCAGCGGACAACAGAAGCTGAAGAAGTGCCTGACTAGTAAATCAGAACCAAGTCAGTCACAAAGAAGAGAAGACACTCGTAGAATTGTGAGCTGTTACGATTGATTGCAATTGTAAAGTGCCAATAAGTCCAATCATGCAATCCAGAACCTGTTATTAGTCATGGAACTCCCGACACGTGACAATGTATTCACGGATTTTTAATAATATCAGATAACGGATTGCCCTGACAGCCCACTATGAGCCCTGACCTTCTTGTGGAGGCAACAGCTCTCCCTTCAGCACTGGTTGCTTTATCCTTGGTGATACAACCCCAGGTACCCATCAGAGAGGAGTCTAAGTGGGCCACAGAGCTCAGCCTGACACTACAGCAAAGAGAATCACACATCTCTGCCCCTGCCAGGAACTAAATCCTGACCCGCCAGTCACCCAGGGCACTCTCTGCTAAGTATAACAATCGAGATACTCCAGCTAACCTTAATAATGTGACATGACGCTTGAAAGCCGGAATAGTGGAGCCAGAGTAGACGTCCACTGCTAGGCAACGGCTCCATAAACACGTTCCTGCGGCAATGAACAAGCAAGCAACAATCAAGATATTGTTGGGCTATAACAATGGAAACGGTCAACCCCATGGCTATATAACGAGGATCCCAGGCCAGCTGGGAATAATAACTGAGACAGTCTCTTGAGACGACAGTTGAAGATAACCGAGGAGATGGCAACAAGTTAGTTGAGAACTGACAGTGCAGTTGTGAAGGGAAGATTTCATGTGTGTTGTAGTACAGTGATATTTGGGAGTGTGTAATTCAGAGACTGTTGTAGTTCCTGTGTTAAAATCAGTTGCCAGGAAACAGCTAGTGGAGAGTGTAAGAGACTGAGGAGACTAGTCTCTGTGCATGTCAGTGGTCTGAAATGTGTAGTTTCAAGTGGTGTATACAAGTGGTCAATAAATCCAATATCCGATCCATACCCCGCCTATAGCCAAACCTCAAAGTTGTGTCAACACTCTTTCATAAAGTTACAGTGTCATCCCATAGCTTATGAAGAATACATTTGGAATTAAAGAAATTTTACAAAAATTCTAAATGAAACAACATGGAGATGACATGTTGGGGCATTTGTTCCACAGCCGTATGCCCTAAATGCTCTTTGGATCTTCCAGTTCCAAGTCAAAGGGCAGATCCATTAATTCAAATTTCATTTATCACCGAAGACACTTCATGATGAATTTCTTCTAGCAACATGCATGCCCCCCCCCATGTCAGCTTGATGTGGTGTTAGATTTGTCTGTGAGAATTTTCACAGGATTTCTGAAAGTTCCACAGTGGCCGTATTCTGCACATGGCCAAAGGACAGGCACCTTATACAATCACAACTGTATTTACCAGAGAAAATAAAGCAAATGCAACTAGCTAATACAAGAATAATGTTACCTCTCAACCCCTTCCCCAGTAGACACTAATGCACAGTAATATCTGCCAAGCTATATTTCTTTGTGTTTACATTTTAAATGAGATTTTGGTACATTTTCTTGCCTTAGATCAGGCGGGGCACTTCTTAACTTTAGAACATTTCAATAAGTTAGCACAAAGGGGTTAACACTAGGCATGCAGAAATCCTGAATTTTTTAGACTGAACTGGGGGAAGGGGCCCTCTATTCCAACACTGATTTTTCAGCTTCAAACTTAAAAATTTTCAGGAGAGTGGGTTTTGCTTTGCATTAAGGCATGAAAACTATCAGATTCATCAAAATCTAATGGTTGCCAGTTCACGAATGAATCAACGTTCAAAAAGGGATAAGCAGCAGATTGTAGTGCACTGCGAAAAATTAGCAAGCATCATAAAATGTGATCATAGAGAAAACAAACTCTTGCTTTCGCTCTCAAAATGTTTTCACGTTCCCATCTTGATCTCTCCTTCAACTGCATGAAGAGTCAATGCCCCTCATTTGGCAGAAACAGATATAGACTTACTAATGATCAAAATCTGCTTAGTGGTTGTGGAGGGCATGAAGGTAAAGTTGTCCCTGTAACAGGCTGACATTAAGGCTCCCCCACATTTTCTACAAAATCGGCTCACTGATGGCAGTAAGGCTGTCAGCTTTATGCACTGGCCACCCTTTAGCCCCAGGAAGATACTAGGTCCTCATTTCTGTTAGTGGCTGAGTCGACTCCAGGGCCATAGGGCAGCTGGAAGGATTAGGTCAATTGAAATATTCAATGACCTCAGCAGGAATTGAACTTATGACCTTCTGGCTTGTAGCATAGTGCCTCAACCAACTACGCTACCACGTGTGCCCCACGGGGCACATGACTGTGCATGGAGAGATAAAACATGTAAAGAGATGTACGCATAACATAACGATTCTACTATGTTCACTCACTTTCATCCTGAAGCCACATTTGGTTCCAACAGTTCTTTTGCGAGTTACGTTCAAGATCCACGTACATTTTTACGTAAAATGTCCATTACTGTTTCCTGATTTTAACCAAAATAGAAATGTGACGAAAAAGATTCTGCTAACACTTCCCCATACCAAATTTAATAAAACTCTGTTTAGCATTTCTCGAGTTGTGACACGTAAACTGAAAAGACATGACAAATGCGACACGTGGATTTAGTTGCCAATAAAACTGCCTTCTAAAAGAAGTTATCGAAGGAAAGATAGAGGGGAGGATAGAAGTGACAAGAAGACGAGGAAGAAGACGTAAGAAGATGCTGGATGACCTTGGGGACAGAAGGGGATATTGTCATTTGAAGGAGAATGCTCTAGATCGCATTAAGTGGAGGACTTGTTTTGGAAGAGACTGTGGACCTGTCGTCTTGACAGATTACTGATGATGATGATGATGTGCTACAAAATATAAAGCTGCACAGTAATGTTACAGTATTATACTACGCAGTCTACACGACGTTTCTGTTCACTGTAGTCCAGTTTTACAATGTATTAAATCCTGTAAAGATAAATAAAACATACCTCATCTTGGAAGCAGCATTTTAAAATATAATCCCACTAAAATTGAAGCATGTTCATACACCAACCGCAAATTGTGTCAGAACTCGCAACATATTCGGCGCACCATAATTCAATGGAATAAAAATTTAAGCGAAGAAGTAAATATATACTTTATTACTGGATTACTGATAGCACCTGCTCATGGATTGCATTTTTCTCAAAGACTTTCACTCTCAGCAAATCTACTGCTGGCTCACACGCTGACCCGATCATAGTTTAGCATGTGAATCATAAAATGCTGCTACGCGCACCACCTGCTGGCAGAGGAAAGAACTACATGCTCAAAGTGCGTTCTGAGAGGGAAATATCACAGAATGTTTCTACCCGACGTTGGACGATGGACATATCAGTCTGGATAATGCATTCGTAAATGATCAAACTCTGATATGGATGAGAATGTGTTAAAATAAACTGGTCCCAAATTATGAAATTGCTTATTTATTGTGATACTTTATAAATATGTATTTCCAATAACCAATGCTCAACGAAAACGTGGTCAATATAAATTTTACACTATAAGAACTGCATATGATCATGTCTGAACATGGACATAAAGAATCTTCTACATATATAAGAAAATGGAACCATCACTTGCTTGCTTATAACCACACACCACAAATTCACCTTAGGAGTAACCCTTTCATGTTCCACACATCAGGCCATCAAGAGGCATTACTGCCTAACTTAGCTTCCAGCCCCCACAACTGATACTGTGAACACGAGAGAGATACAGCAAACTGCCCATTATCAGGCATATATCAGGAATGGGATGTGACGGTTACATGAATCTGCCTGATGTATGAGGAAAACTTTTATACAACCCAACTCTCACATGATTTTCACCATTTTTCAGTCTTCCAATATTTCCATTTTTCTGCTTTGACATCAAAACACCACAATTTCACTCCAGCTCTTGCATGTGAGTCTTCTTATGGACGAAAGATTTCAGATATACTGAAACGTGACCACAAATTCAAGCAACCTCTACAGAAATCACGCAATAGTATGGCTGAAATGACACCTGCATGAAGAGGGGATGATGGACAGTGCTGCCAGTGGCAGCTGGGGAAACTACTGGGAGGTATGTGAACATGTGCACATCATGCCTCTGTTCCTGAAGCGACTTAAGAAAATGATTAATTTTCTTTTAAATATTTGCTAGTTGCATGGAGGTACAGATCATTTGATGCCAGGTAACTGTATCTCATCCCGCGCCATAACTCAAGCGGTTAGTCGCTGGCTTCCCATCGCGGCGGCCCGGGTTCAATCCCGGGTCTGGTCAAGTGGGATTTGTGGTGGATAATCTTCATTCCACCATTTGCTCCACAATCACCCTCACCTATCATCTGGGGCTGGTACAATAGGCCAGAAGTGGCCGCAGTACAAGGGACTTAATCCCACCCCACTAGCAATAAAAAAACTGTATCTCGTATCTGAGCACGTCGCAGTGATGATTACTAAGCTTAAGATCTCCTGGGAGGTAACAAAATGTAGAATGGTAAACAGGTACCAGTCTCTAGGAGCAAATTTCAATCTCATCACCACAGCCTTCTACTTCGAAAAGAGTGGGAGCAGGTTCCACCTAAACACTGCACAGTATCACAGCCCTGAAGACTACAATCTGAATGACGCAGACATGGCAACTGGCCATATGCAGGCATAGATATGGATGTCATATTCAAATACATGCAAAATAAATGAAGCAATAATTCTGAGATGGTATTATCATGATTTTGATCGTTTGGGTTGTGACACCAGGTGGTCACGCTGATAATTATTATGTGCCTGTGACGTCACAACCCAGCTCACACTATAAAACAACTGTTATTTGTAAGTCACAATCCATTACGTTGTTCTTACTTCCTGCATTAAATATACATGTAAATACCACATTCTTTATGGAAGCCCTGTATACATTTAATATGTACAATCTTGAACTCTCTCCATCCAATCAACTAACGATATCAACAAACGTAATTCAAACTGTCGCGACTTAAGATACACTGCATAGGACTTCTTGATCATCAACCAGGAAAATATTTAAAAATATCTTGTTTACCTGCAGGACACATTATCACATATTCACTGTACATTTGTGCGGCCAAGTGAATAAGATCAGCCCTAACCTGGATGGCTTCAGGATGACGCTCGGACAATGGGACACTGCTTGACACAACAGAGATTGGGGTCGGTATCGCAGCCGGCATCTTCTCTCCACGCATGAATGCCTCAAAGTTGCGCATGATGAGTGGAATTGCATCATCCAATGGCATGTTTCGATGTTCTGCGGGTGGAAAACCATAACCGCGCTACACGACACTGATCTCATACTGTGTGACTCTAGTCTACTCCACTCCATGCAAAAATCTCATCGACAATAGCAACAGGTTAACTGTTGAACTGGAATTACGTTTGCATTGACAGCTTACATTCATCTTACTCACCAGTAACAGCAAATTCCAGCTTTCTCATACATGCAACATGATGCTATTACGATGCGACATGTACAAAAACCAGTATTTCTTTTAATAGTAATTCACAACCCATACTTACAGAGAGGTGATCAACTGTGGCACATTTTAACATACATTTCATTTACCTCTGAATGCTGAATGTACCTTATCCAAAATAAATTGTAACAATCCCTAAGATCTGGTGAAGCAATTCATTCTCATTTCAATCAGTATTTCAAAACAATATGATCAATCAATCATGAAATAGTCTGTATAAGAGTCCAAGTGATGCTTGATGCTTGGTAGATGTCTAGTTTCAGTAGTACCATGAATATACTAGCACCAGGTTAATGTACACATAAAACTTACCGTACATATAAAATGAAAATGCCTTCCCCATGAGAACCAGGATGGGGCCCAACAGATGAGAAACTGTCAAATTTTGACGATTAACTATGTCAAATTTTAAGACACGTAAACGGTCAGAAACGAACATTCCTCGGCCATAACGATGTACTATAAAACTCCACGTATGCAATATAAAATGGAGCCCATTATCACAAGCTGAACAGTATCCCCTAATACACGATACTTCACGAACATATAAACGTGGTGTTGCACGACAAATAAAAGTGCGAGATATACACGCTTCTGATAAAGCACAAAAGATCATTAACATACGCATGAAAATCCCTTACGACAAGCATGAAATATCAAATAGGGTCCATTACTACCAGAACAAAAGGACCAACCACTGAAACAGTCAAATTTTGGCACACACAAATACAGTAGTCTAAAGCACGCAATTTGCAAGATACAAACTTTCAAATACAGTACACCAGAAAATGCAAAAAAACTTTCTTAATATTGCGCACACGATGTAAAATGAGCCTGTCACGCTGGACATGAGGAACGGTGTTAAATGCACATCAACGCAGTGAAATTTCATGAATAAACATGCGACATCTTAAAAAGCACTACCAGACATGTCAAATACCAAACCGTTGGTTAAGAAAAGCATAAACATTCCTTCGACACCGTGTATATACGTGAAATGCAGTCTGTTGCCATGTTAAAATGGGTAGAGTTGAACAATCCACAAATTGTCAGCACTGGCGAATAAACACGAAGCATTTTAGAACGCATGAATATGAGGACAGAAATGAGTGGCTCGAATACCAAAATGCGGCTAGGTAATAAACACACAAAATATCAACATTATGTACGCAATGCAAAAGAGCCCGTCAGCATAGATGAACGTAAAGAGCAAACGTACTTCAAACCGTCAAAACTTGTAAACACGAGACATTTAAAAACACACAAATGAACTTCCATAAATAAGAATGCTGAATACGGAACCGCAATTAAATAATAAACACATAAAATATTTTTGAGTACTACGCAAGTAGATGAAAATAAAAGTGTGATGTGTAGGAAATAACAGACAGATCCAACTGAACGATAAAATTGTCAAAATTTGGTGAACAAATACACATGTCACTATACAGAAGTTCAAAAGCATACACACACTACACCTGAAATGAGCAGATTAAATAACAGGCTCCAATTAGACATCATTTGCATGAAACAAACTTTAAAATGGATTCAAACGCATCACAGAATGTCAAAATTTGGCGAACCAAATACAGCACTTAAATAGTGTGCGCCAACAACACAAAATGAGCAATCTGAATAATGTTCGGACAAGTACCAAACGCATGAAACATTCTTCAAAAGCAAGTATATCCATGAAATGTGAAGTCCGTCACTGTGGACATATGGACATTGCCACACACATGACCAGAGCAGAGTTACTGAGCTGATCAAGAAATTCCCCACTTCATCCACGAGAATCTGCCACTGGCGCTTATCCTGAGCCACATGTATCTACTCCACATCCTCACACCCTATTTCTATCAGATCAAATTTAATATTATCTTTCCAGCTATTCCCACATCTTCCAAATGGCCTCTCCCTTTCAGGATTTCCAATTAAAATTTCACACGCATTTCTTATCTTGACCATGAGTACTACATGCCCTACACATCTCATATTCCCTCTTCTGAACATTCTAATAACATCTGCAATTTTTTTATGCCCTTCTGTTACCTCCTCTCTTTTAGGTCCAAAATCTTGTCCTTCACATCTGTTATCACACACCACCTGTCTTATGTTCCTAACGATGGTAGATCAAGTTGATTCGAAGAACATGCTGGAGGATCAATATTACTGTTTGGTTTTTATTTCTAAAATACTTTTACTTTTCCTTTACCTATTTCCTTCTTTCAGGCACATGGTAGCATAGTTTGTTGAGGCACTATGCTAGATGCTGGAAGGTCACGGGATCAAATACTGAGAAGGTGGATTTTTTCAATTTCCCTAATCCTTCAAGCCGCACTATGGCCCTGGGACTGACTCAGCCTCGAAATGAGGACCAGGAATATTCTCAGAACATTCTTGGGGGTAAAGGGTGGCCGGCATGTAAGCCTGACAACCCTACCATCATCTGTGAGCCGACTGTCTAGGAAATGTGGGAGCCTCGATGTCTCACAACCCTATGGGTCTCCACGGCCTGTTACAGGGATACCTTTACTTTTTTTTTTTATTTCCTTCTTTCAGTGGGCAACTGACCTAAGCTGTGTCGACAGGCAGTGCAGTAAGACAAGTCATTCAAGCAGAAAGGTCAGTGGATAATAAATACATCGGTACTCTGATTTGTTTGTGACAGCTGTAAAATTTAACCAATTGGTCACAAAAAGGAATAGCAGGTTACAAATGACAGGGAAATTTCACATCCAAATTTCTGAAGGCAATAAATGAGAAAGTTTAAAGAGGTGCCGTATGATGGTAGGAACATCAAGGTTCACAATTAACTAGCCAGTTAGCTAACTAACTAACTACGAAGAGCAGTTCCTGGGGAAGTAAGAGTCACTTGCTGGTCAAGAAGTTCCCCAAAAGTATAAATCATGAAGCTCCTCATTATGCAATTTTATTCATCCTCGTTACTTGTTTTCTCTTAAATTCCAATATTCTCCTCAGAACGCTCTCTCTCTCTTTCTCTTCTCTTCTCAGTGCTAAGGACCAAGTACCACACCCATACAAAATTGCATGTAGAAAAATAGTTTTACACACTTTCATCCTTACATTTCAGCTATCACAGCATGGATGTTGAGTCATTACATTCAAACATTATGATAGAAACACAAAGTAGTTCACACTAGCTTCGGAGAAGTTATACTCAGAAAGTGTTCATGAAACCACTGGGTCACCTCCGATGACCACAAATTTTTGCTATTTCCTTCTGAAATTCAACAAACCAAGGAAATAGGTTTTCATTTTAAACTTTGGTCATTTTCTTACCAACCACAACGCATTTTAAGCTTTGCCACTTTTATCTGTGAAATAAGAAAATCAGAGCATGACAGAAACATGAAAAGGACTTGAGAAATCTATGAAATTCTGGGGATTTCATTTTGAAGTCATGTTCGAACCAGTGTTCGTATTCGTATTATGAGAGGGGGTGGGTTTCCCCATGCACTTAGACCAGTTATTGGTCCATTGTGCATTCCCCTTTAATTTCTATTGTCGCCATACCCTACCAGTAATGGTGCGTGCCATCAGCCCCCGTAGAGACAACGAAGTCGGCCCTCGGTACCTTGATGCTTCCCCCAACCACCAGAGGCATTGGAGACTACTTGGGCGGGAAAGGGCCTGTAATATAGCTCAGAGGTCTCCTAGAGACATGAGGTTCTTTTACGTGCTGTAAATCTATGACACGGGACACACGGCTTAAACTCCCTCCCGGAGGACTTGTTCCCTGAATTCTTCCGCCCTTAAAAATTCCATAACCTCCGACGGGNAAAAAAAAAAAAAAAAAAACTTGTAAACTTACATTAGCCAGGGCGTGACTGAATACCCATACAATGGATGGGAATTAAAAATTTAGAATGAAGCCAAAAAAATGTGATGTGTAACTGTAACAGTAAGATCATCTTCGATTACAACCTCACATGAGTTAATCTGTGTAGCAGATTATATTCCAGAATAATGAGATAATTTTGAAGAGAATCATCAGAAACAAACAGTTACTTAACACCCATGTTTTGGATGATGGCGTGCAACAATAACCGTAACTATTATTATGGACACCGTCTGTTATCTTGTGCTTTTTAAAAACACACCACTATGGAAACCAGATCTGTTTCTAACGTAAGTTCTGGTGACTGATACTCACTCCTTGTAACAGACCCAACAGAGCAGGAATCTTTTCTTTTACAACTAACGCTGGAAACAGATCCACTTTCCAACATTTTGTATTTTGAAGAAACTCAAGACAACAGAAGCCACACATATAGATACTTAACGCTGTGTATGCAGACTTCATGTGCGGGTTGAATCATGATTTTTATTCCAGTCAATGCAAGTAATCAATACTAGGTGGCATAATCTAAAATCTTAGCCATGCAAAATATGGCCCATAATAATAAAACATGCTGACGATAATGTAACAAGTTAAGCCTTTTGTTACCTTGTGGTAACCCATGCAGGATGTTCAGTGTTAGGCTACGATGTTCCTCATTCTGCGGCATAACCACAATCGCATACAGACTGCCTCGACTGGAAATGTTAGCCAGAACTCGGCCAATTGGAACCTCCTCATTTGGGAAGAGCAGGTCCACTGAAAGTCCCAGCTGTTTTAGGCGATGCTCTATATATTCAGCATATTCCCTGAAAACAGGAAAAATCATATAGTTCATCTCACATGTTAACGGCAAGTTTTGGCTTCATTACCTCAAACAATCATTGCCACCAATAAAAGAGTAAAATATATCTAACTTCAACATAATCTAAACTCAACCAAGATTCTTTTGTTTTCTTAATTGTGATCTTTTGCTAAAACAACTGTTTCCTTGTGTATTTACCCATCATGATTGACGGACTTCACTTCCTTCTGTGTGTCTGGCAGATCAATGATTGCTGAATATGAAAGTTAATGCAATGTAATCAAAGAATCCATTTTGTTTAATTATCCTGAGAACAACAAGATTCACAGAAAAAGTGCACTGGACATAAAATATTTTAAATTTCTTTTCTAAATGATTTATTCAAAAAAATTTTCTTCTAAGAAATATTCAGCAAGGTATGCAGAAAATATGATACACATACAGACAGGTCTTTGTGTAATGTGCCCATTATTTTTGCCTGATTTTAAGAACAAATTTGAATATGCTGACACATTCCCATTAACACACACCATACAGCAGTGTCATTCTACTGACTGAACCATCTGGAATGGCAAAAATATTCATTCAGAAGGAACATTATATTTGGGCAGCTAGGACGTGTACATGTGTCATTATGGCAGTAGAGTGCATCACCAATAAAGGTTTAAGCAAGGATGTGAACTCTGTAAGGATCGCCAAGTGCTTACCTCTGATTCTTGTTGACAACTATAATTTCACAATCATTTGTCCTGTCCATCTGTCCCCCATTACCAGGTGGTGGATAATCTTTCCCCCTTGGCTCTGGGATGCCAGCTCTATACGGCGCACTGTTGAAACACACAAACTGAACTGACTTCGGGTTATCGAGGATGTTGATGTTGTCTGTTCTTGGGTCTCTACACCAGATGAATGTGGTCAATGCTGATGTTTCACAGGTACATCCTGCCTCCATCTTCAGAGTCAAAGTGAGTAGGATATGTTAGTGTTCATGTATATACATGTTCACGTTCTAGAAGGGCCACTCAGAGAAGGATGAGGGCCAGTCCCCAATCTGAGCAAATAGGAAAGGTGGAGATTTCCGTGGCGACCAGCCTTCAAGCAATGGGGATCCCTCCGTTGCCTTGCACACTGCCTGGCTCACAGGAATGCAATGCACGGTGAGCATTTGGACAGGTGACTGTTTGGTAATGTAGTCAATGGCTTTTTGGCAGCTTCACTGGCCCTCAAGAGGGTCATTTTGATTATATTTCTCTGCTGTCTGTCTATACTGCTCTGTGTACCAACCCCACCCTTCCTCCTGCAGGTTTGATGGGCCACGACACACACACATGAACACTCCTTCACCCTATTCACTTCAACTGAAGATGGAAGCAGCACGTACCTTCGAAATGTTGGCAACATTACCTGCATCCACAAAGCGTAAAGACCCAAGGGCAAAATCAACATCAATGATGAAGTGCAGAATTTTGTTTGAGACTTTAATAACTGACAATCGCAAGGATTCATCTCAATTTGATTAAGATGCACACAACAAGAACTCATGTAAAAATGCTACTATATACCCAAAACCTCCTCGATCATCTCTGCCTGAGAGGTTCATTCTGAAGTTGTCTCCTCCAGGAAATGGTCCATCCTTTTTAAATCCTCCATCCCGCCCATAGAATCCACGGTCACGGTCCAGATCGCGGTCACGGTCACGATCACGATCACGATCACGGTCTCGATCACGATCTCTATCCCGGTCTCCAGGCTTCCCAGAGAAACCCTCGTACCTGCAACATCACACATCTGTTCTTGATACAATGTACTGCAGATAATGACGTGCATGAATAGTTTCCAGTATACTTTCGTGGCCAGTTTTGCAACCTGCTTCATGACCAGAAAGTCCAAGAATGGAAGGGTATCATTAGCTTCAACTTCCATCGTGAATTTACTGGTAGGCCTAGTGCTGTTGAGATGGTGAAGAAATTGCTGCAATCTTGCTGGTCAAGCCATTAAAGTGTCAACATATGTGAGCCATTTAGAGAGTCTGTGGGTTGTGTATCCAGCGCTCCATGAATATGTTACTGACCAGTGGAGACAGAGAGGTTCCCACTGTCATACCCTCCTTTTGCTGACAGAATTTATCTTCAAATTGGAAGCATGTGGCTGTTAATCAGATGTCCAGTAATTCCAGTATGTCTTCAGCTTGTAAAGCTGAGAGCTCTAGTGTATTATCCTCAGGATTACTGAGCTTCTCGACTTTGTCCGTCATCTGGTATTCTTGAACAATATAACTCGATTTATTTCTGAAATGTTATGTTCTTTCTGGACAACAGATGACTAAATAAATAAAAAACACAGTAATTCTTAAGGTACTAACCCTTTCGTATGCTCTGCCAGAAGGCTTCCAACATTTTAACTTTCCCACACCGGTCGATCATTGGAAGCCTTCCACCAATGACTTATGAATTTACTGGTAAAATACGATTGCTTCCTACATGCCATATATTTGGTCTTTACATTCTGCAACATCTCTTCCAGTAGCAAGGATACAGGAACAATGGACGGCAGTTCTGTACTTTTCCACACCTCTCTCTCTCTCTTTTTATTTTTTTTTAAATTATTCTGCAGCTGTACGACTGATGCCAGAAATAAAACTGATGAGACAGCAGTGAAACTATTATAAAGTCAATATGCACCCTTTTGTATATAAATATTCATAAAACTGTTAAGTCACATCAAAGTGACCAGTACAAAGATGTGGCATTCATATTTGAACCTTGTTAGTTTATTTACAGACACACAATGCTAGCAGAGGGCTTAAAGGGCATTTATAATGGAGCAGAAATTCACCCCTTCATTTTGATGGTAATCAGCTGGCCGTACATACATGGATTTACCTGCTGACTTGAACTGTGGCAGACATGTTGGTGGTTAAATTCGGCAATGGATCAAAACCGTCACTGGCCATTACTATGTAATAAGGAGCCAGAGGTTCAGGTTGTGGAATTAATACACGACTCTTAAAACCTTGTGATGGTCGCTGACAACCACTAAGAAGTGTTCAGTCCTGATCTTGACTGCAATACTGCACCTTGATGACAAACCAGACCCGCAGTTTTCTTGTTACTAGTTACGTGTTCATTCAATAACAAAACATGCTAGTCACTGTGTGACGACATACAGTAACACTATGTCATGAATATAGAGTTTATTAGCACAGATTAGTAAATGAACAAATAACTGCAGTAGCAGAGAGCACCACAACTTTAAACTCTATGGGCATGATGAGACTGAAATTTAAAAATGTCAATTAAGATCTCTGGAATAATCTGGCTTGGCAAGGCGTCTTCCCGCGAACAAAAAGTACCTCCACAGACGCAGCTCTGCTTGTGTCACTGCCTAATGCTTCAGGACTAGCGAAGTTTCATTGCACTATAATCTGGTACAGCCTGAATGATGAACACACATCATATTGTACCTGCATCAGTGCTGGTCTTTCTGCTGCCAAGAGACACCCGCGTGAGGCACTGCACTAAACTGTACCTGTACCTGTCGCGATCCCGTCCCCTGTCATCCAAAGGAGATCGTTCCCTGTAGCCATCTCCCTTATCCATCGAGTCGCCCCTCCGAGGGCCACCAGGACCATCCACACCGCGACGGCCTCCACCAAACACCCGGGCCTGGTTTACCTCTGTAATGAAATTATATTTCAGAGGGCTGGATAGCTCAGTCGGTACAGTGACTAGGGGAACTGGGGTTCAACTTCCATCAGAGGCAGTGTCCAGGCTCGCTTTGGGCCCCACCCAGCCTCCTATCAAATGCCCCCCAGGTGGCATGAAGATGACCATTCACATCCATCTGGCGCCAAGGTTAAAGATGCACAGAACTACACACCCACTCACTGCCCCACTCATAACATCACACCTAATTAAGGAGAGGGGCAATTTGATTTTGCTATGCTTTCTCAAAAATACTTTCTCTGGTAGAATTTAATTAGAGGCACACTGCTGCCTGGCATTACTAAGCAGGAAACCATGCAGAACATTAAACAGCAAACATGAAATTTCATTTGCAACCAGTGCTTAGATGTTTCATTATAGTCGTTTTGTCAATAGTGTGAGGTGTATAGCCTTTGCTAGGCAACTACTTGATAAAACACATTCCAGCAGGAGTCAACCCTTGTGACATGATGTTCATTGCTAGGCAACGACATGGTAGGCATTCTTTGTCAACAATACAGGCTGTGTTTTCTATTTGGTCTGTGCAAAGCAGTTATAAGAAGTGTCTGGCAGTAAAGGAGAGTGAGTAGAGAACAGCGGTCAAGTGAAGTGGTTGATAAGGAACAGAATTGGGTCGAGTTCTGGAGATGGCAGTTGAAGATGATTAAGAGGAAGTGGCATGAAAGGAATTAGGAGGTGCAAAGACGACTTCATGTGTGATTTGAAGTGACAGTGAGACTGGTAAATCTTGTGCCAGGAAATGACTTGTGAAGAGTAATAATCCCAGTGTGTGCACGTGACAAGGAACTGGAAAAAGTGTGCAGAATAGCAACAGCGCTGTATTACCTGTAGTCATGAGTTTTGTGAATCTATAAGGTACAATAAATCCAATCACGCAATCCAAACCCCGTCTTTCTTATAAGTCACCCTTAAATGTTACAATATCAGTATCTGTAGCCACTAGTCAAGTGTCAGAAACAATCATTTTGCATGTCAAGAATTCCAGAACTGTCTATCTCACCAGATCTACAAAAGCAACACTACAGTCACATGTGTGGCTGGCACAACTTGTGATGGACAAGTAATTCTCTATGTGAAATTGGCACTGGCAGTAAAGCTTCAAAGCGTCACCATCCCTTGTCTAGAGATGACAGGCAGATATTTGGTACATTAACCTTTATCCTACGGGCATTTAAATTCCGGTTGGGGCAGCGGTACGGAATTAATTTAAATACCCGCGATTAGAAATCCGTAAAAACTGTAGTCACTTACTAAATTTGCTCCTATTTCTGCAATTTCTGTGATAAACGAACGAAATAAACGCTGTTTTTTTCTCAAAAGAATATAGAATCAGATACTGTAATTTACAGATTGTATAAAACATGTTAAAATTTTTGCACTGACTCCAAAGAAGAAATTTCCTAATTTTTTGTTTCCCTACAAGGGATTCATACGTTGTTGATACGTTTCAATGCAAGCTGGTGTATGACGACACTCGGCAACACCGCTCATTTATTGTGTAGCGAGTTTATCTCAGTACAAGTGACGTACCTCGTTCGGAATGTGGATGTGGACGAGTGAAAATAATCTCAGTGCCTTACTTCGCTCTCAGCTACAGTATAATGTTCCTACTGTTCTTATATAGATCAAAGCTAGCTTTGTTTATGCAATTGCGTTTGTAGTATCAACAAAGCGATAATAGAGCTTCGTTCCTGGAATTGTGCAGTCGAAGTTTGATTGTACATGGCGTAGTGTCGTGTGGAATATTCTATCAACGACTGGGTACAGATTGCTGTACCGACAATTCTGAGAGTGATGTTGAAGGTAGTGAATAAGAAAGTTATTTCGAAGGAGAATAATCATCTTCGTCAGAAACCTGGGGACCACCACACCAGCGTGGCACGAGGAGTGTGAATAATTATTCAGGTGGAGCTGTGGGCAAACTGTGGCAAACAGTTATAGCATCTGTCGTCGAACCTGGAAATGGACAAATAAGCTATTTTTCCATCTCCTTGATCTGAACAGTTACATCCTGTTGTCACACGGAGAATTTCGTCTCGCTCTTGTGCGGAACATGCTGGAAGGGGTCCACCTCGCCATCAACGGCCAGGGGTTGAACCCCTGCCGTTTTATGGGAGATATCTCGATTATAGAAGGCCAAACCACATCACTGGCCGACTTCCTCTACTTCGCAATTGAGGTGTCGTGTGTGCTTTTCGCGTGGGAAAAGAAAGATCGAACGGACAAAGTGCGTGAAGTGCGAAATCGGACTCTGCATTTCCGGATTTTTTTGAGAATTCCACACGAAGGCAACATTCCGGCAGATGACGCAGGTGGGAAGACAGACCCTCCATGCAGATGGTGGCCAAAAATTATATAAGTAGGACATTATTTTCTACCTTAAAAATGTATTTCAAATAACGTCCGCTTGCGCGGACTGTGCGACCCCATATGGGGACATTCATACCGCTGACTAAACTTGTGCGACCCCGTCGTTTAAAGGTTAAAACCTGCTCAAGCAGTTCAGCTTAACCCCCTCTGGCAGCGGTAACTGTATGCGTAACTTCTCTAAATATTTAAAAACTCCACATTCTGCCCACGCAGTGTATTTGTGTTTCAGAGCATTCTCACAATTAACTTCAATTATTTTCCCCAAGAAAATTAACTGGTTGGTCTCTGTAAGTGAGTACAGTGTTTTTTATAAGGTAGGAAGTGATTCTTTAAATATTACTTTGATATACTTTTGGTGACAAAAGGCTGAAGCAATTCTACTGAGTGTAAAATAAATTTATTTCTTTTGATACAAAACCCACCCATCTTCTTCCCTCGGTATACAGCTCCATTCTCCTGCTTGATGGCCTCCATTGCACTATTCTCCTGCTCGTACTGAACAAATCCAAACCCTCGGTTTAGTGCAATACCTGTAACATCACCGAACAAAGGCGTTATCTCCAGAATCAACCTAAAATTGTCCCAACAAATATAGACTTTCGCGGTTCTGTGGCTACAAGTACTATGGAATATAAAACAATCCAAAAGACCATATAATATACCCTTGCTATAAAGACTGCAGTCAGAATTTTATTCATTTAATATCCAGTATTAATCAGGGGATATAAACACTTCTTACTCGTAAATAATATCTTAAAGTTTGTGACGATGTGTTAATGCAATCATTGAATATTTGGACATTAAAAAACAAGATGATGGACAATGCCCCAAAACTCAATAATTGTACTTCTTCTGACTTGTATTCAGGAGGAACCCATTTTGAATTTTAGCAGATATATCAATGATCTTGACATTTTCCTTAGAATCTTCAGACAAACGTCATGAACTAGGCAAAGTCTGCTTCCTTCCACATCTTCTGATACATTATTCATTAAGTGTCATGTAGATTAATTACTATACTGGGTAACCCTGCCTTTCATTCCTCCACAATTAGTACAGGAATCCTACAAGTCATGTGTGTAGTCCATTGCATTTCTGTTATTTCTGGCTTCCAATGAATGCATACAGTGACAAGCAAAAGTGGAATGAATATAAGGACAGGCAATAAGTGCTCATTGTCCAGGAACGATCTTAAATATGGAAATCATATGCAATTAGTGTGCAACCATTCATGGCTCAAGTAATTTTTAAACTGCAGGATAACAGTGGCAGTATAGGTACGTAATAATAAGTGGTAACCCATGCATCTAACCTCAAGAAAGTGTTATGCCACAAAGCTATCAGTGAATGGTGAAATAGTGCCTATATTGGAATATACACTCGTAATTTTAACACATTCAAAAACAGCACTCGTAATTTTAACACATTAAAAAAAGCGCTTTATTTTAAATTGCGGTCCGGTTTAAGATACACACCACCATAAGCGATTCGTTAACGATACTGCTAATATATTAACATCATGATGAGGATATAATCCTATCGCTTCCTAACTTAACTTATCCATCTTACCTAAAATTGGGCCGTGCTTTTTGAATCTTTCTTCAAGGTCTTTCTTAGTCATTTCACTGGTTGGTATGTTGCCCACAAAAATCCTAGAGTTGGCGGTGGATGGATCAGACATATTGGGACCGTCGCCTTTAAACTGTTCTCGGAAACTCATGTTTTTCAGCCGCCGTCGCGACCGTTATTAGGAATTTCCTTAACAAACAAGCATACATGTGCCTTAAGAATATGAATACTGCAGTTTACAAGCGTCGTTCATATACAAATATGCGTATTTCAAAGCATGAAATACCGGCATGCAAACAAACAAGATGGCTACGACCATGCACCCGAGATATTGCAAACATTACAAGCTCTCTGGAAAATTACAAAGTTAAAAACTAAGATCAATTTTGTGTTAAAACATTTATAGCAACTTTCAGACTTTCGCTAATATTATGTACTAAATCACTTACAATCAGGTTTTAAAACGTATACACGTCGAATGTTTTTACCAAAACTCTACTTCTTTGCAACCTTTGCAACTCGATTCAAATGACAACGCGTCTGTATAAGGCACTGTGGAGATCCAGTTGCTGTGATCATGGAACACGTTGTAGATTAGGTACGTACGCGGTATAGGGACATTGATCGGTACCGTGGTTTCAGGGGTTATTCCATCGTGAAGAGATGGTTCCTCCCAGGCGTTCATACAAATCTATCAAACTGCACGGAGTCACATTCCAGAAGAATGTAATTTAATGTTTGCCACTACGGGAACTACAATCTCATAGCATACAGCCAATTTTGCGGGTCTGAATATGGCCAGTTGATCAGAGTCCAGTCCTATTTTGCGGTTTCATTTTTCTAATATTGGCTCCAGCAACTGGTTATAACACGGGAACAACTTGATGATCCACCGAGTTGCCACAGAATGTTTTATAACCGCATAAAAGTTAGGGAACGGATACAGAATTTTCTATACAACCAATTCACCTGTTTCTATTGGTTTCTATCTAAACTTTCTCTTAAATACTGCAGATAGAAAATGTACGTTCCTCTGAAACGTGGGGCTCCTTCCAACTACATGGTATTACAACCCTGACGACTATACTCTCGAATTGTTTGTGTTTACAACTTCAGGATATAATAATAGTAATAAAAAAACCCCTTATAGAACTCAAGGAGTAAAATATGTTATAATTTTCATTTCGTGCATGCTGTTGTGTTATTATATACAATTTCTTTATTAGCAAATATTAGCACGTATCCAGCTTTACCATCACAATTGCAGTTCAGTAGTGTGTGAATATGGTAATCATGTGTTTGCCTGATAATGGCTTTAATAGCCGAAACATGTAGCCAAGCTAATCTTGGCCTTGACCTTTATATTGTTATGTTGTGATGGACTCTAATAAAGAAAATGTAAAATATTTTATATTACCTACCTTCGTGTATGATATATAAGCTTAATCTGTTTATCTGTGAACAAATATGCTTGCACAGACACTCAAAGTTTTCTTATGTCGCTCTTATGGCACATGGAAAGTGTACAATTTCATATAACACATATCCATTAATAATGCAACTCATATTCGCTTTACTTCTTTGCTCACATGTTTCAGCCATACACAGCCGTTATCAGGTGTCTAGCCCCATGCTAAAACTGCTGCACTGTATGGCATATCACAATTTCATATCAAAATTAAAAATTAAAATAAGTCAGCTCTAATTTTAGTTAAAACCAATTATATTCAATGCTTCTTGTGGGTATTGTCTACTCGTTCAAACAACTTCTTTGCACAACATTTCCTGCAGCAAGGTTGTATTCATGTTATCGTGTACTTCTTGGGAGTAGGTGCGTTGTTTTTATTGGCTGTAGATTCATCACCCATCCTGTGTAGTTGTGCTGTTGTTGATTATTGTGTGTATGCTGATATGCTGGTTTTAACTAAAATTAATTAGGGTTGACCTATTTTAACTTTTTAATTTTGATATGAAATTGTGACATGCCGTGCAGTGCAACATTTTCAGCACAGGGGTAGACACCTGAAGATGGCCGTGTATGGCCGAAACTTGTTCTGAATAAAGAAGTGAATATAACAAGTTGTGTTAGTAACAGATATATATATTATACGTGGGTTACTTCAAAAGTCATGGCAACATAATTTTTCTGAAATTTCGAAAGCTCCGACTGGAATTTCCAAATTTGCCGCTGAGAGACAGCAACGTCTGATTTATAATGATGCTGCTAAATTATGCGGATGTCCAAGGACAATGAAGCGAGTCCAGCGCGAAGTCAGTGTGATCATAACCATCATAACCATCATAACCTTCATCGAGAATGAACGTTAGCCGGCTGGAACAGCGTTGTTATGTGAAAATAACGGTGCTTCACAGCAGAAATGCAACTGAATATCACTAAGAGCTTGTGGAAGCTCTGGGTGATCGTGCTCTGTCATACAGAACAGTTGCAAGGTGGACAGAAACATTCCAACGTGGAAGAGGAGCAAGTGCCGACTTGCAGCGTAGTGGACGCCTTGTGTCCATTCGTACCAATGTTTCTTGTGCTGTGATCACCCAGTGCATGGAGGAAGATAGGCGCTAGTCTGTGAAGGAGTTAGAGAGACATACAGGGATTGACCAGGCAACTGTGCATCAAATTTTATGAAACTCACATTGAATTATTCATTTCTTAATCACAATTGAATTTTTCGAGGATTAAATAATGAAAAAACAGTCATGCCGTAATGTGCAATTTTTCTTGCCTACTATACATATGCCCCTACACATCTACCTGATCTGACTAAGCCATCAGAGGGGTATATCATGCCCTTTCATAAGTATATTTTGAACTTTCTTCACTGTAACGTGTTTGCCCCCCAAAAATTAGTTGCCATGACTTTTGAATTAACCCACATATGAAATAAATGATATATTGATGCAACAGGATGCTTAAAAACAATATTAGGTATACACTTTGCCAAATCTCAACATTGTCAGATAGGTAGGCAGCAACGCACACATCAATCCATCCAGCTGTTCATCTAAAGATGGACAAATAGATACGCAGGTACACAGACAGACATACAGCAGACATGTAAACAGACACATTCCATGAATCCTAGCATGTAGGATGCCAAACAAACCAAAATACAAAGCATCATACTCAAAGAATATCTATAGGTACAACACAGTTACAGAAAGTTAATAGAAAGTCCGTCGAGTGTAACAATTTGTAGGTCACTTTTTATTATTATTTCTGCCTTACATGTTTCGGTTTGACACAACCATCATCAGAGGCACTTGCTATAATTATGGAAACACTGTCACTTTTTTTGATGTTCACAATTATGTTTGTCGTGTGGACGCTGCTACGATATGTTGACGTGTAAAAGCACAAAACATGCTAAGATAGTTGAGTACACTCTCAAGTTCTCACTTTTCATCCGAACCTATTTTTAAGTGCTGTGTGTAGTACACAGCGCACAGGAACATATCAAACCATAAGCCATATAACCTCAAGCTGACGTCTCCCATCTTCGGGATGAATTAACAAGGAGGAGTTCAGCATTTTATATCAAATATTTTAACATTTTAGCGTTTTAACTTAAAATAGGTTCGGATGAAAAGTGAGAACTTGAGAGTGTACTCAACTATCTTAGCATGTTTTGTGCTTTTACACGTCAGCATATCGTAGCAGCATCCACACGACAAACGTAATTGTGAACATCAAAAAAAGCGACAGTGTTTCCATAATTATAGCAAGTGCCTCTGATGATGGTTGTGTCAAACCGAAACATGTAAGGCAGAAGTGATAAAGAAGTGACCTACAAATTGTTACACTTGACGGACTTTCTATTAACTTTGTGATTGATAGTGTAACGGACCAAAATGAAACAATTCAAAACAGTTACAGAATATACTCAAAACAAGATATACTACAAATAATTTAATCGCATAAGAATAGCTATTTGATACCATTAGAAGCCAATCAGAATGCATTTCATGAGCAAGTTAACCTAACAAATTAATATCAGCATAAATTCCACATATTTACTGTACTGATAACATTCAATTATCAGTGGTACTAGGGGGGATAAGAGGAGGTGATAATTAAAAGCAGATACTCTAAATGTCTGGAAATTCTCAACATCCGTACTGTATTCAGGGCTGAAAATCACTTAACTGTTACACACCGGCTACGTTGCTGGCCAGTAAGGGGCGAGACTTAGCTTCATTGTTTGCTTCCTGTTGTGCGTCATGACCTGTAGTATTCGCGTCATCAACATACTACAAAACAGTGAGACATTTCTTTCCAGCATATGTTGGGCGGTAGTATGACAGAAAACCTCTTACTTACTTACTTACTCGTGGAGCTGAGCCCTTCTTGAAGAGCGGCCAATTCTGCAGCTACTCAAGAATTTCCCAGCATTTTATGGAACCTGAATGTTTATTACCATGTTCACAATAGCCCTCCAATGGTCCATATCCTGAGCCAGACCAATCCAATCCATACCATCCAATCCTATCTCTCTAAGATCCATTCTAATATTGTTCACCCACCTATGCCTTGGTCTTCCCAGTGGTCTCTTTCCTTCTGGCTTTCCCCACCAATATCCTATATGCATTCATCGTCTCTCCCAGTCGTGCTACATTCCCTGACCACCTCATCCTCCTTGACTTGACCTATAAGTTATAAAATATGAAGTTGCAACAGGGTGCACATCACTGTAAACCATCACTGACATATTACTGAAACAGATATAATGGGCAACATCAAGTCGCTACGGAAAGCCATTAAGAGGAATATATGTAAAGTGTTGACACGGAAACCGAAGGGAAGGGTACACTTGGAGGACTTGGCCATGGGTCAAATTTAAAATTGACCGAGAATAAAAAGGATAGGAGAATATAGACTGGATTCACCTGTATCAGGATAGTGGCGAATGGCAAGAGTTTGTGAACGCGGTAATGAACCTTCCGGTTCCGTAAACTGCCTAGAAATTGTCAGGGGTCAACGTTTTGTTACTCATGCTTTGGTTTTCGCAATACCGCTTCCAGGAGATCTAGTACGTGTCGCCATCACGAGGTTGCGGATATTAACCGAACTAAGACGACGATGAAGGCGAATTCTGCGCAAGGACTCAGATCGGGTCTAACCGGGGGACAACAATTCAGCTAACCTATGGAATTCAAAATAGGCAACACAGTGCAGCATTACCAACAGTAGGGTTAGATCATAACAAACTTGAAATTATATAACACGTTTGACGGAGACGAAACCAAATCGCCGAACAGACTGGTCTCGAAGTAAAGCTCTGGATTTATACTCGTATTCACTAAGTGCTCGGTTCGAAACTCAACAGGGACACTCGCTATCCTGAGCAAGGTTTTTCGTGATCTTTCCAGTCTTTCAGGAATAATACGAGGGACAGTCAGTAAATAGTTCACAAATGGAAGTAAAACAGCTGTAATGGGCGTAATAAGTTTTGTATGTGTATCACTAGGTAGCAGCACAATCCATCTTCAAGACAGTCTAGGTACCAGGCATGCATGTGTATGTTCAAAGGCTGGTTTCAGTAGTCAAAATGCCGACCGTGCTTCGAAAGCCGCAGGTGATGTCAGACCAGGCGCAGAAGGGGCTGAGACAACAGTCAGA